ATATTTTATTCTTTGAATTATCTTTCAAATCCTTTGCACTTTTCCAGGTAAGTTATTTTTCTTGTTATTCTCAGAGCTTTTTATTTTTGGATTACAACTATTATTGCCAATGTTCTTATATTTATATTTTTGGTCTGGCTGGAAGTTATCTGCTAGCAGAATTAAGGTGGGAATCTAAGAGAGTCCTTGGTCTTACTGAGACTTGATCTTCACGGGATAATCAGACTCTGTGAGGCCTTGATCTTCATTTTCTCATGTCTTACAGTAAACATTTAGGAAAGTCCTGAAGCCATTTTGAACAAGTTACTTAGACCTGACTAACATCAGACAGGTGACAAGTGTCCAGAGATTCCATGGAAAACAAACTCTCTCCTAATAACAGGGAACAGTCTTCTCTTAACATGGGAATGGTATAGGCATTTATATATTCTCTGGAGTTGTGGCTGACCCTGGGAAATCTCCATGTAGGAGCATGATGCCCTGAAATCTGCTTTGTGTGGCCCTGTTATTTGCAGGCACATTTACTGTTAAGGAAACTATATCCTTGGCTGTATTAGTTTGTGTCTGTCTGTCAAGCACATCACCCTTCTGTGTTGGAGCCTGATGGCTTATAAAAAATCTTCACTGGCTAACCAGATGTTCATTTATTGAATATCTTTCATTTCTTCCTTATACTAATTCTTTATGCTCTATTACATTGTCCTGTATTTTTCTGCAGAACCCCTATTTTACATTTATTTGCTTTCTTTTATATTGTAGTTGCTGGTCAGGCAATTCTTTTCCCTTACCCTTCTTTCTGAATATTTCTTAACTTGCTGTGTTTGCATGTTTGTTGTTTCATATGTATGTTACTGTAGAACAGATTCTTGGAGGACCTTTTTGATAGAGGATTATGGAACCTCTATATTTGGTTTGTAATAAGCTTCGAAGTGCTGAGCTATACAGAATTCTTTGGTGTCAGAACTGCCTTCCCTTTCTAATGAATGCAAACTAAAGATTTAGGTCTAACAGTTTAGAAACGCTAACTAGACTGCACACAAAAGCACTTGGTAACTAGTTGATGGGTTACTTAAATCCACCTGGGCATATGAATAAACGTGTATTTGGCATCTGTCATCTTGACTTAGAGCCAACATTTGCCCCATACCTGCTGTGTAGGTTGATTTCTCTTAGCATTGCATAGCAGTTGAGCTTATCCTAGCTCTTCTCATTCCTCTACGACTTCAGCAGATTTTGGAGGTGTTCTTCCCTTCTAGTTTTCTTCTACAACTGTCAGGACTGCAAAATGTTTGACTCTCACCTAAGTACTTTGTGAAATTCCTTCTTAACCTCAATATATAAAATTGTATGATAGCCATAGAAAGGTATTTTTTTAATTATAAATTGTTTTAATTAAAAAATCCAATCTTCCATAAGTCCTAGTATCTGACAGAGTAAATAAAGTGCTTCCTTTAAAAAAGGAATGAATAGTTGGGGCTTTAACCTTTGAACTTACTGGCACCCTGGTGTTGGTATTTGAGGTACATCATGGAAACTCTTTGCTGAACTCATTCTACAAATAGGGTATCTGTCTTGTAGGTTAATTGCCTTGCTGGGTGGAGCCTGGGTGAAAGAGTAGAAACCTTTCAGTTCAGTAGCCTGCCTTTCAAGACCAAAAGGAATTAATGTATTACAAGATATAATTACATACATACGTGTTTTTAAATCAGTTTTCCTTTTCTTGGTAAGATAAATTACTTCGTTGATTACAGCTTAGCAACAATGATAGAATTTTAGGATATCATAAATATTGCATGTTGAAATGTATTTGATAAAAGAGCAAATCTAAATGAAAAGAAAATATCATCTAGACACTTAGGTGATTACTTACATGAACAGAAGATTTTTTTAATGTTTTTAAGGTTTTCAAATTACAGTTGCTATTTGTAGGGCTAGGATAGTGGTGGTTATCTTGATATATAGAGTATTATCATAGTCACATTTTTATTTTGCTTAAAAGTGAGAATGATTTAAGTACTGTATTATAATTTTTTTATATTAAGCAGATTGGAGATTTGTTTAAATGCCATTTCTTCTTTTTAGTGGGAGTAACTACTTTGCTAGGAGTACTCTATGGGTAGGTTTAAAGCCATCTTTTAAAAAATTAGATTTCTTTTACTAAGTGAAAACCTTAAAGATGGGATAAAACAAACTGGTACAGGTTTCATTTAAAAATGTTGCTGAAAATAAGTGATTTCTAGTATATTTGGAGAATCGCCTTTAGTAATGTGAGATAAACTGGACTGTAGAAAAACAGTACAATTTAATTATTATATGCAATAGATGAGGTCTGTGAGGATGAATATGAAATTAAAATTACATGTAAACATAATATTAAGTGTTTTAAACACTTACTGTACTTATTAATATTCATTATTTGCCTTAAAAAAAGTCTATCCTTAGTAAACAAGAAGAGTGGTTTGCCCCAGCAGATTTTAAGGGGAATTCTTTGAATAGATTGAGATATACTGACTCTGAATTTATTAGCCAAATAAACTGTTTTCTAAAATAGTCTTGTCCAATGATGATAATTATCCTTCTTTTTTTTTTTTTTTTTGCTGTGTATTTATTATTGTTGCACATGGCCATCAAAGGTCATTATATTGTAGTGGAAGTGCTGAACAGTCTTACATAACAATATTTAACAACATATATTTTCCCCCCTCTGAGGGGAAAAAAACTGAAATGATTTAAAAAGTTACATTGTTACTGTTCAGACATTGTTATTATGTATGTTTCAGTTTAGCATCTATTGGAAGATTCTTTCTTCCACTATTTGCTTTAAGTTTCTTGTCTCAACTGTCCTGCCACTAAGAGAATCTATTTCGTATACTTTACAGATCATTGTGGAACCTTCTGAAAAAGTACAAGTCAGTAGTAATGATGGTTCTGTGTTTGAAATGTTGGTGTATGCTTCATCAGGGCATTTTCCCCCCACTGGTTTTGATTTTTAAATGACAACTCATTAAAATGTTCTAAAAATTATGATTGTTAGGTTTTTGGCACCCACTTAAAATGCACTTGCCTTTCCCTGCCCTGTCTTGGAGCCCCAGTACATTGTAAAATGTTTTCCACAGTTTTATTGACAATATTATTCCATTCTGCTTGTAAACTATGAAAGAGGTTTTAATTTTTCTGTAGCTGTCTTATAACCCTTTAGGAAATTAAAGAATGATTTTCCTTGTGATAGGGGAAAAGAAAATGTAGAAAGATGCAAATGTTTGTAGTTGAGATGTCTTTCTTTACTTCTCTCCACTGAATACAGAGCATAGAGAAGCTGAGAATTGGAATGCAATGGAGTAATTAAATAGAAAAGGGTTTTTTAAAAGTTAAATGGGCAATTTTATGTATCGATTTGCTTTATTATTCAGACTGTGTAGTACCTGTCCATATTCAGAATTTACCAATGCTTTAATGGAGAACATTCTCTCATACAGTTACTTAGTAAACTATATGCAGTATGCATATTGTGAATCTGATTTTGAAACTAATAATTATTTTCTTCTACTGCTAATATAATTCTGTGATCATTACTGTGGTATTTTATTATCTGCTATAGCATTTTAAAATAAACTGAGCATTTACCTGTGTTTAAAGGTTATATACAAAGAATTTGATTTTGTGAAGAATTCATTCTTTATCATTAAGAATATTCAAATTGATAGTCTTTCTAAATTTATTTTGGAATTTCCCTTACAAATTGGCCACAGTACTGTAAACATAATAGCTTTTTTCATCTAGTAAAATGCCTTTAAATTTGCATTATTAAGATCACGGACCAAGAGGGCATGAATTGTTAGAAGGATTTCATTCCTGCTAGGTATCTTGGCATGAATTGTTAAAAGGATTTCATTCTTTCTAGAGATCTTGCTATGTCTTATCCTTTTATTTATATTTACATTTGTGTATTGTATATGTGGTGTGTTATATGTATAAATGAGTGTATCAGAATTACAGAAGTTAGATCATGCTCAACATGCTTAAAGTTTTCTGTTTACATATAAAAGAAACAATTGTATTTTCGTACACTTTTTTTTTTTAAAGATTTATTTATTTATACATACAGAACTGGGGTACAGGCCAGAGGAGCAGGGGTGGTGAGAGGCTTCACCAGAGACAGAGTGGGGAGCAGAACAGGCAGATCAATGAAGTACACTGCTGAGGGGAGCAGCGGGCGTGTCAGGAGAGGTCTGCCGCACCATGTGGTCACCTCCGGGGCAGGCGGGAATCGAACTCATGCAGAAGCGGCTTTAGATTCTCAGTGCAGTGCTTTAACCCGCTGCGCCACCAGGGAGGGCCTTTGTACACTATTTTATTGAGGAAACTGACTATGTATACACAAATTTTGTTTTGATAGGAAATTGTACACAGCATATATGCTTTGAATGTACATATTCTATAAAACTTGTTTAATTGGATTTTTATTTAAAAATTAGTTTAAGTGTGTTGACTTTTTTAGAGCTATTTTAATAATTTACATTTTATCATATTGGCCCCTTTGCTCTTTATTCATCTAACAGTAGCTGCCTAACAAATCCTCAGCATGATGGCGTATAAGAAAAGGTACTATCTGAGAATAATAGAAGAATCATATCACTGGTTATTTTCTTGAGGACCTCAGAGTTTATTTAGTATGTGATGAAGATTTTAAAGTAGAATGTTGGAGTTGGGGTTATGCCAGTATAGAAAATTTGGTCAGAGAGAATTAAAGTTGGTTTGATAGAGGAAAGGGTTCTATGAAACTAAAGATATCAGTTACTTAATTGTTCACTAATTTTCTAGTCTTACAGCATATATAGGGGGTAGGTTATTTTCTCTTAAAGTATACAGAACTCAGAAGAAGTTAAAAATCATTTCAATAGTGAGCATTTTCAGACATTAAAAAAAAAGTAGTAAATCATTTAAATGTTTTCTATTTCATTTTTCAGTCCTTGCTTTTGTATGTTTTTTCACTTAAACAGGAAATCAAACCTCAAAGCCATTATAACCATGGATATGGTGAACCTCTTGGACGGAAAACACATATTGATGATTACAGCACATGGGATATTGTCAAGGCTACACAGTAAGAACTTTTGTTTGTTTATTTGTTTGCTTTTAAGGTAAAGTAGATTTACATTGTTGGATTCCACCCCCACCCCCATTCCCACCCCTCAACCTGCCCTGCATTACCCATAGTCCATTGTGCCTCTTCCCTACTTTGCTCTTACCCCTCTCCTCTGGATACCGAAGTTCTATAGTCAGCTTTCAGGGGTTACATATAAAGTGAACTTCCCTTTTTCTGATCCTTTGTTTCAATATTCTCTACACTTCACATGTGACACCATCTGGTATTTGTATTTCTCCTCTGACTTTACTTAGCTTAATCTCTTTGAAACTCAATCCATGTTGTTGATAATGGCACGAGTTGATCTTTTTTAAATGCTGTGTTCCATTCTACTCTACCTGCTCACCCCATGATGAACATTCACCATTTTGGAGGCCACTCTGATTAAGAAATTGCAAATATATTCAAAATTCAACTTAGGCTTGTTTTGTTTTCATATTAACAAGGACCCAGTATTTTTTGCAGAATAAAGTTGATGATTCTTGAGACTCAATGATGGATTTTTTGTGTGTGTGCTTTATTATATTTCCCTCTCTACTTTTGCTTATGCTTAAAAATCTCTATAATAAGAAAATTTTATGTGGGGAGGACCTTCCCAGGTGGTGCACAGGGTAAGTCTCAGCACTATGAAAACTATCCACAGCCATTGTACTGCAGCACAAGTTCTATCCCTGATCAGGGAGCTAACCCATTTAGTGGAACAGATTTATCCTGTTTTGCCTCCTTTTCCCCATGGCAGTATATTTCATTTAGTCTGCCTGTTCTGTACCCCACTCTGTCTCTGGTGGATCCTCTTGCCCTCCTGCACCTCTAGCCTATACTCCAGCTTTTGTCTGCATAAATAAATAAATTTTTTTTTTTAATTCATGTTACCACATGATTATTATCAAGAACCAGAAAAGATTAGATCTGCATATGCTTTCCTTCTTAATCAAATAAGAACATCTTTCCGGCCCTCCCTGGTGGCTCAGCGGTTTAAAGCACAGCACTGAGAAGCTAAAGCCACTTCCTCATGAGTTCGATCCCTGCCTGCCCTGGAGGTGACCACACGTTGCGGCAGACCTCTCCTGACCCGCTCGCTGCTCCCCTCAGCAGTGTACTTGTCTATCTGCTTGTCTGCTCCCCGCTCTGTCTCTGGTGAATCCTCTCACCCTCTGCATCTCTGTCCTGTACCCCAGTTCTGTATGAATAAATACATAAATCTTTAAAAAAAAAATCTTTCCTAGAACTCTGCCTGTATATTCTCTTATGTATCATTACCTTGAATTCAAAAGATTTTTTCTCTACCTACTTCCCATCTACACATAAATTTTTTATTTGCCTTCAGGAATATCAATGCTAAATTTATGAATAAAGAATCTTGAGTCTTGTAAATATCCTTTCTTTTGTCTTTGATATGCTCTATGTTTACTTTTTATATACTTAGTAACATAATTATATGTACTTTTATAAGGTGCCTTATCTGTTTCGTAGAATAACTTAAGTGGAGATATAAATAAAAAGAAGCAATTAGTAGAGGGTTTATTTCTGGTATCCTTTTCTCTCTCTAATGACATAACATTCATAGAGATGTGGCCTTTACAAGTTGTAAAATGTGGCATGGCAAACCTCTCCTGACCCGCCCGCTGCTCCCCTCAGTAGTGTACGTTGTCAACCAACCTGTTCTGTTCCCCACTCTGTCTCTGGTGATCCTCTCACTGCCCCTGCACCTCTGGCCTGTATCCCAGTTCTGTATGCATAAATAAATAAATCTTTAAAAATAAATAAATAAATTGTAAAATGTATTTATGAAAGCTCTTGGAACATTGATATTTTAAAAGTAACATTTTATGTTGATAAATCATTTTAATCAAAGAGTATTATTTTCTTCTGAAAATGTTATTTTCAGCTTTAAATACTCATCAAATAGTAATAACATTCTCATTTCTTTTCAAGATACGGAATATACGAACGCTGCCGAGAATTGGTGGAAGCAGGCTACGATGTACGGCAACCAGACAAAGAAAATGTTACACTTCTCCATTGGGCCGCCATCAATAATAGAATAGATTTAGTCAAGTATGTTATTCCTGTATCTTTAAGTAACTGTAACTTTTAAAATGTAGATATCTCACCTCCCCTCCAAAAAATTGTCTATAACATATATTAAATAATATGCTGGGTACTCTAATGAGTGTTTTTTCACGTATGTATATTGTTTTAATAATTCTATGTGAAAAATAACAATCATCACTGCCCTAGTCATCTGAAAGCTGAAACATAAAGAGATTAAATGATACAGAGCCAATTTTGAGGTCAGGACTTTAACTCAAACAATCTAACTAGGAACTCATATTCTAAATTAGAATTCTATGGGAGGAAGCTACAAAAGAAGGTTAAAGAGATAATGGGTAATAATTTGATTTAACTACTCACACTAATATAAGTGATGCATACAAAGTAAGCATAAGATAATTTTTAACAATTCACTATATATGTCCTTATTTAATATTAATAAATAGTAGTTAAATAAAAGTCAGGATGACAGGTTTTTCTTTAGTAAACATGGTTTAGTGCTCTCTGAATTTGCACTTAAGATCTTTAGAGAAAGACACAAGCCTAAAATGAATTGCTAGCAGATGTATATTGAAATACAGCATGCAAATAGGATGTTAATACCAGCTAAAAATAACAAGATTTGCCCTTAATGTCCGAAAGTTAGAGCAGAAAAGTTGTAACTAAAGCACTGAACTACATGAATCACTTTCCTCCAGAAAGCATATTTCCATTTATTTGTTCCTTTTTTCTTCTTGAATTTCTTACTTTCCTTCTGCCTATAATATGGGTGCCCTGGTACCTATTTCTTTTGTTAGAAATGCTTTTGTTTGTGAAGAAAATTTGTACATGATACAGAAATGTAGGTGGACAATTTTTGTTTCATTTTTATTTTTACCCACTAAAAATACCATTCCACTGTTTTCTGGCTTCTGTTGTAAGAAATCATCCTTAGTGTTTGTTTTTTGAAGGATTTGTGTTTTTTTCTTAAAAGCTGCTTGAAAGCCTTTCTCTGTTTCAGTTTTCTGCAGTTTCGTGATGTATCAAGGTGTGGAATTCTTTTTATTTACCCTGACTATCCAGATCCTTATTTTCCAACTTATGTATTTTCTGGATTGATATTTTCATCACTTTTGGTTAAATCTCAGCCTTTCAGTTTCTTCAAGTATTAGTTCTGTCCCATTCTCTTTTTGCTCTTCTTCCATATTTGACCTTTCATTACATGCTCTCTATTTCTTATCCTCTTTACTGTGTGTTCTATCCTTTTTTCTCTGCTTTATTCTGAAACTTATCTTTCAATTCATTTATTCTCTATGTATAATCTTATTAAATCTAGTTCATGTATTTTTAATATTTTCATTTATAGAATTTTAATTTTCAACTTGATTTAGACTTTTGTTGCTGAAACTTTCAATTTTGTATACTTAAACATAATGAATACAGGTATTTTATACTCTGTTTCTGAAAATATGACATTTGGAATTGATGCAGGTTTGCATCTGTAATTTTCTTCTTTCTCATGATTGACTTTCTTTGAAAATATACCTGACATTAGCATTTGAATAATTTGAAACCTAGGATGAAATTTTCATTTTTTTCTCCTAGACTCAACATTCAATTTCTGGATTAGCTGAATTATCAGGTGACTGAGAACCATGGTAAAGCCATGGGATTTGATTTCATTCTCTTGATCAAAAATACTCATATTTGTCATATGTTTAAAGGTAAATTAGAAAGTATAAAGTAAGAAATAGAAAAAAATCTGAATACTGCTTGGCATACAAATTGTTATAAATTACTAGGGGGCTTGTGAGGTAATAAAATAGTGAATTATAGACTAGAACAGTGATCTGTCTATATATTATATCTTCAGGTGTTTAAACCTAATTTCTCCAAAACTTAGTCTAGAAAGTTACTTTCCTGAAACAGACATACGGCAAATAAGTGCAGTTTTCGTAGCTATTCATTTCTTCAATATTTTAATTTTAAATTCTATGATTGGGTCTTGATTTATACCCTGTTTAAAAGCTACAGGTGTTACTATTTCATGAATGCTGGTGGAAGATAGCTAACTCGGATAGAGACAAAGATTTTTATTATTCACAGCAGAGAAAAGCATTAGTATCATATTTGCACAGGCTCCTTTTGTGCCCGAGGCCTTATGGAAGCAGTTTACAATGGCCCAGATGGATGTGGCGCACACATGGGTTTGACTTGTAGCTTAGGGGATCCCATGCTTTTGTAGTGATATGCAAACTTTCTTTTTGTCCTAGAGGGATACCTTTACTTAAGTTTGCAAGGTTGCTTGATGTAAATACAATTCTGAGAAATGGCCTTTGTAAAGAGTACCCAGAGCCTTGCATTCTTAGTATACCCAGCAATACATGGAAGAACATTAGACACCCATAGAGAAGTGTCTGAACAGTTACATTCCGTTGAAATTTATTAAAGAAATTTGACCAAATTCTTTGGGTCACTTTTATAAAATTTAATGTAATTTGGAGAAGAGGAGACCTTCACTGTTAACCTGGATTAGGCTTATTTTCAAGTGTAACTTTATCTTACCATTTATATTAAAAGAAAAAAGGAATAACTGTCTTATCTTTAGTCCCCCTACAATTTTTTAACAACAGCTGATAATGCTTGTAATCTAAGATTTCAGTTTGATTTCAGGTTATGGTTTTGTTACAGGGCAGGGAGAGGGACACCCATGAACCCCCAAACCTGCCTGCTCTTAAATAGGTTCTGTCATCCACTGCATCAAGATAAAACATGTAAGACCTTTAGTGGAAAGGAACTTTAATACAATCGGTGTGCAATACAGCTAACATAAAGAACATAGTTTCTAAATCAAACACCCTGAATTACCCATCCCTTTGTGTATAAAAGTCCACCCAAAAGGGATTGGCCCTAAGCAAGGCCTGAAAGCCCACCATGAGTATAAAGCACCTTCCAGCAAGGAGCCATAAAAAGGGTCAGAAATGGCCAGACACGTCTGGGAGGAAAAGAACAATATTCAAAAATCAAGATAAATGGTACCATAGTTAACCTACACACGGATCTCTCATCCACATTTGATTTAAAAAATATATATCTAGTTTATGAACATTAAATGGCTACTTTTAATCTAGAAACTTGCCTTTTGAATTCATGGAAGTATTTTTGCATTATGGCCTCAGAAGTGTCTTGCTTTTTCATTTTGCTTCTTTTTCTTTTAGGAAATGTCTGTTACTTAGTCTGATACTGGAACCATTCAGATTGACTCATTAAGGTTTTTTTTTTTAGCTGCCTTTTTTCTCCAAGGGTAGCTATTATCTTTTGGGGAGATTTTTAAAATTTACTTTCTAACCTTTTTTATTAAATTTCTACTTTTCTCTATTTAATTTTCAACTTTCAAACATTCTTCTTATCTCCGTTCTCTTCTAAATTTCTTTTTTAGTATTTCATTCTTTTAGCATGGACTTTTGTCATGGGTTTGTGGGAAGGTATCAATTATAATTTTTTATGGCTTTCAAGTTTTTTTCCTCTACATGTCTGTTTACACAGCAAATTATTTTGGTATCCTTCCAGATTTGAAGCTTTCCTCCATAATCTGGTCATATTTGACCTCACGTTTAAGAGATAAACTAATGGGAAGTTGTGGGACTTGGAGACTTATGCAGGGGAAACTCCCAAATGTTTGTTTCTAGAGGTGTTTCTTAGGGGCTATTAAGTTTCTTTTAGAGAAGAATCATAATATCTGTGGCAGAAGGACTGTGACTGCCATTGACCAAAGCAAGGAAGGGGGGTGCCTGGAGTTCTTTTTGTTCATCATGTGATCTTCATTGAATCAGTCCACTTTCTGGACTGTTTTTTAAATGGTTCTCAACTGAGCTAATACCCCGAATCTCACATTTCTCTGGTAAGGGGGTATCTAAATAAATTCTCTGAATCCCACGGACGCTTCTTTGGTAAAGATGTATCTGAAATACCTTTTGCAAATGTCAAATGATTGGATGTTAAAATCAACATGAGCCTAACCACTAAAGCCAGAAATAAAAACAATACAGTGCAATTAGGGCTACAAGAAACAGAGCATTCAGTTCTACAGTAAATAATTTCTCCTAAAATTTATGTATTTTATAAAATAATACCAGTAATATAAAATTTGAGTAATCACTTTAAGATTTGACTTTACATTGTAGAAAGAATACTTGCGTAGCTAACACTGCAATTGCTTAATTGCTTTTTACCACTAAAATGCTTATTTGTTATGCTAGATATTCACTTTGAATGTGACTGAGTTCAAAAACAATTTTCTAGCAACTTATACTGACTTTCAACGTTTACAGCTCAACTTAATATTATTTTCTTCACAGGAGATAATTGCCATTAATTCCTTATCCTTTCCTAGTTTTTATAACATTCTGGTTTGGTTCTCTTTGGCATCTTATTCTATGTACATTTAAGATCTAGCTATTTACTTTTTACTTTTCAAGTGCTTGTTGATATGTTTTGTTCATTGAAGAGGTCCCAAGACCTGGAGGTCACTTGTACCTGTAAGGGCCTTCCTTGATAGTACTTTACTTGTATATTGTAGGGATATCTTGAGTTCAAAAATACTTGATTTTCATAGAAATTTGTAGTTTTTAGCTAAACTCTTAAAGCTACAAAGAATATTTTATAAAAATAAAGTTCTTACAGTTTAAAAGTGTAGACCTAGTTTGGAAATTAGTCATTGCCTTAGTCCGACTAGCAAGGATTTGAAATGTGAGTAAAAATAACCCCAGGGTCAGGGTCAGATATATTGACTATAAAAAAAAAAAGGAGTGAATTCTTTTAAAAAGTCCCAGTTGGAATTTTTAAGAAAATATTTCCTATCAAAAACTGCATGTTTTAAAAATATCAACAAGTATTTATTCAAAGCAGAAAATATCTGACTCAGTCGTATATATGAGTATATTTAATGATTAGAACTGTGGACATTAAGAGTGATCTAAGGCAGCAATCACAGCAGTGTAAAAGGCTCCGAAAAATACACACACATTTGTCAAGCATTTGCATGAAATTCCTTGAAATAATTTATTCAAGATTCACTTTATCAGTCCCAAAGCAAGCGTAATAAGCAGCTAGGTCTCATTCACTTCACAGGATAGCAAGATACTATGATATATTAGGCATTGATTTATTTATTTTTTTTTTTTAAAGAAATGCTTTTAAGCTAAAGGACAAGCATAGCATATAAGGCATCTTAAAGACCATTTATGTTATACTTTATAATTTACAAAATTATTTCATATGTTTTGTTTGATTTCGTAAAGTAAAACTTAAAAAGTGGAGCTACTACCCATGGTAGTGTCTGCCTATTCTACAATTGTCGTGAGCCTAATATTCTATCTACTATCACCATCTGATTCTATCTGATTCATATTTTTGTGGCTCTCTGACTACCTTCTTTTTGTGTGTGATTATTACTTGCCCTTGGTATTTGCTATGTAATTTAATGCTGTTTTCCTTTTGTCCTAGAAAAAAAAATTGTGTGATTAAAATAAAAATTTGGCTAACTATTTTTATATCATCACAAAAGGTTGTTAATCTTCAAAGCTATAAGTGAGCATAAAATCTAAAATGGAAAATAAGCTTATGTGGCACATTACTTGTCACATAATTTCTTAAAGTTGAAAATGAAAGTTGTCTAAATTATTTAAAATTTTGTTTTATAGATACTATATTTCGAAAGGTGCTATTGTGGATCAACTTGGAGGAGACCTAAATTCAACTCCATTGCACTGGGCCACAAGGTTTAAATTTGCTTCTGGAATTTTTTTTTTCCTTTGGTTCTTTTATTAGTTTATAAGCAGCTTTTTCTAAAGTGAATGGGAATACTTATGGCAATAGTTAATATCATTAGTATACCAATATATTGTGTCCAGTGTTATCTGAATTGGAAGCAAAGTTTTTGTCCAGTGTTCGAGAATTAACCATGCTGACATTAATTCTGTTAATAGTAAGATTGGGGTAAACTTTGGATTTGTAGATATACTTTTGCAGCATATATAATACAGCCTTACAGCCAAGTCATGTTGTAATAGGATAGACTGTAGTTAACTACTACATATTTAGAAAAGTTATGAATATCGTCATGAAATTGTTGAGACTTAATATAATAAACTTCTACATGTGTCTAAGCATTACCTACTTTATTATAACTTCTAAATATTGTGTCATATTTTCACCATTTTAAAATGATCTTTCAAAAGAACCCTTGAATCTTAAGTGCTTATTCTTTTATATTTTAGACAAGGCCATCTATCTATGGTTGTGCAACTAATGAAATATGGTGCAGATCCTTCATTAATTGATGGAGAAGGATGTAGCTGTATTCATCTGGCTGCTCAGTTTGGACATACCTCAATTGTTGCTTATCTCATAGCAAAAGGACAGGTAAAAAATTACAGTGATGTGAATTTTAGTCATGTCCTTCATGGTTTAAATGCCTAATGCTGTTAGATATGTAATAATGTAGTGGTATATAAATAGTACTTTTTGATTGATGAGAAATTTAAATAAATTTGTAGTTAGTTGATATTGAACTATTTAATATAGTTGAAAGAAAAACATGAAAGGTAATCATGAACCAGATAGTGATCCATTAACTTTTCTTAATTTTGGAGTGAGAAAGATGAGCCTAAAAAAATAAGGAAGAAATTTTAGGTCATCTTTTTTTCCCCTTAGTTATGTCTTTTGAATATATCATCTAAACTCATTTAAAACTCTTTTGGACACATTACTTGTTACTTTCTATACGAGGTGTCTTTTGAGTGAGTATAAATTCTTCAAGTTACATTTCTCAGTTTCTGTTATATAAAATAATGCTGCTTACATGTCAGAAAACTATTTCTCATGATTTAAGTGATTCTTCCAGATTTTTCCTGAATGTACTTGTAATCATCTTAGATAAGACCAATTTATATGTACCATGTTTTTGTAATAAATGTATTTTGTTAAAAGTAATGTCACCCAGTTTTCTTTCACGTGTTTTTTCTAATTATACTTACCCATTAGTTTTAAAGCTAAGGATCTCATTGTAGAAGAAAAACAATTTTAATTGCTGTTAATGTATTAGTTATTTCAACTTAAAGTTAGGTACAAATTAGAATTTTGATAGTATTTTATAAATTACTTAAGGTATTTGTTGTTGTAATGCCAATCAGTTAACATGGTGTGCATTATAACAGTAAAAGAGGCATAGACTGATTAATTGCTAGAGGAAGTTTATTATCTGTTGCTTTGTGAGCAGACTACCCTCCAAATCTAATGACTTTAAAACAACCACAACCACTTATTATATTTCATCGTTCTGTGGGTTGAATCAAGTCTTAACCACCTGGTTATTCTCATTGTGGTTAATTACTGTAGACTGCGATCATCTGGGGATTCAACTGATCTATAGAATGGCTCACTCACACATCTTGTGTCTGAATAGGGTTGACTAAAAGATTGGGTTTAACTGGGATGCTGGGACAACTAGGCCTCTTTTTCTCCATGCAGTCTCAGAACTTCTCTTTCTCCATAATACCTCTGAATATGGCCTCTCTGGCAAGGAAACTAAACTTGCATTGTGTCTCAGAGCTCTTGAAAGAACCAAAGTAGAAGATGTTTTGCCTTAAGTTGATCTAGCATAGCATTTCTGCACCATTCTGTCAGTTAAAATAAGCAACAGAGTTAGCCCTTTTCCATTATGGAACACAAGGGTGTGAATATCAGGAAGTGAGGTTATTGAAGGCTGTTTTTAGATTCCAACTACCAAAGGAGATTATTATTCCATGGCTTTTGTAGATGGAAGTTGAAGCAGTATGTGGTACTGCAGCATAGATGATGTCTGCAGTGGCCTGTACTGCAGATATACTTGCAGTATGTATTCACTTTTTTTTTGGTTAGAGTTTTTAACTGGGAAGGGAAAGTTGTGCAAATTTTTGAGTTATGGTCTCTTTGTTAGCTTATTGACGTTGGAGTTTGGATAACACTAATTTTTTTAGTTGACAAAGTATACAAACTATAAAATTATTAAAGGGCAGAGATTTCTATCTTTCAGGTATCTTTTGTGCAATAAATTTGTAAGGATGGTAATAAATGCTGTCAGTTTTCTTTTTCATGAATAATTTTCTGCTTTCAAAATTAACATACTTAATTTAAAATTTTCACACAAATTAAGGAAAGAGTATGACTTGGAAAATGAAATCCTATCTTCCTCAATCCCCTTCCCCCCCGAGATCACTTCCTTGAATATTTTAGTATATATACTTCTAGAATGTTTTCCACTTATATGCTGTGTATTGCGGTTGTAAAAAAAGATGAAAAGAACTTCTGGCATGCATTACATGGTACTTCGAATGGGATACAAAGTTCTTCTCTGACCTGCAGAACCAACTTGTAGAACCATGTATGGTCTAGCTGCAGGTCCTCATCAACCTCATCTTCTGTCATCTCCCCCTCACTCTGCTTTGCTGTCATTGAGCATCTCTGATGCTGTGGTCTTTGGGCCTTTGTGCTTGCTGTTTCTCTGCTTGATAAATCCTTTTACTCAGTGACATAGATCTCTCTTTCCTTTTACTTTAGTCAGATGTTTACTCAAATTTCATTTGTTTTTGATTAGGTCCTAATTATCATAATACAGAGTTAGTGTATATTTCTTTCTCTTCCCTTTTACTGACTTGAGTCAATGATACTGTTTTTCTGAGTGTTAGCTTGATTCTGATCAGTATAACTACATTTCTATTACTTGATTTTTCAGCTTTAAATAATACGCTTTGATTCATAAAAATTACAGATTAGGCACTATCATACTTTCTTTTCAAACTTCTTTTTCCATTTTTTCCGCATTTTTGTTAATTGTATCAATTTTACATTCTTAAGATATGCAACATTTCCATTCAGTTTGTCATTCTATTCTTCACAATTATTTCATTTTAGTTATATTGTTAAATATATTCAGTGCTCACTACCAATTCTTTTGGATGATTTTCAGGAGAAAAAGGGGAAAATGCTAAGTTATGGAGCCCTGTTGATCATGGAATTCCCATAAGCTTTTGATCTGGGCTTGTTAATTCTTCCTAATAGAAAGAATACCCATACGTCCAGGCTCAACTTGGAAAAGAAGTACCAAGTTTTAAATCCTGACCCAAAGAGAGAAAAGGTTGAATTTCATTTTTCTTTTAGTACTCTAGAGATGTGGCATAATTTTAATTTTGATTTTATTTATTGATATTTTAATACTATCACTTTTTATAAAGGATATGAAAGGAATCACAACTAAGAAGGAAAAAGAAAGTTAAACATAAGAACTTGTTTGATTTAATTGGACATCAAATTTGGTTGAGCTTTCTTGAAACCAGGGCAGTGAAGGAAGTAAAATAAGTTATAGTACTTAACTCTCATGTAAAGAACAATGAAGTTTGTCATCAGATTTTTTTAAAAAAAGATTTTTATTGAAAACATAATATATATATTGGAAACACTGAGTAAGGTTACAGAAGATGTTCCCAGCAACATTTGTAGTAAATCCAGAAGTATAATGGCTAAAACATGAAATTTGATTTTAAGATTCATGATGGGTGACTAAAACTCTTGCTGTCCAAGAGTATATATTCTAATTTGTCTAATGTACTGTTTCTCAGCTTTTATTCTGCCCCAGAACACTTGTATTACATTCATAGTTTTGAGACATGTTCTCATCAGTAATAGTGGCTTACAGAGAAATGCCATATAGGAATGTGAAGTGTTTTTAATTTACTCATGTGGTTCTGTCCTCTTTCTGTTAATGGTAAATTAGATAGCACAAATTTGAATTTGAACTGCTGCTTAATGTAAACCTGAATTGGGTGATGGGAAAGGAAGGAGAAACCTAACATTTATCAACAGTTAGATTCTAGGTTATGGATTAGGGACTTTACATACATTATTCCATTTGATCATCACAAGTGTCTTATAATGCCATCATATGTATTCATGTTTTTAGATGAAGAAGCTGAGACTCACAGAATTAAAGTAGTTTTGCAGCTAATAAATTGATAGATTTTGGAATCCAAAACTGTGTCTGTCTTACATGAAAGCCCAGCTCTTTCCCAAAACTTAGAAGAGTAGATAGGTAAATATGAGTTTTCATTGAACAAGTTCATCTGCTCTGCTATGCACTGAAAATCAAAGATGAATTTAATGAGACAAATTCCTTAGACATAGAGTATGCACTCTTAAATTGTAGTAACCTAGGGAGATACTTTTAGGGAAGTGAAATTAATAGAATCCCTGATGTAGCAGAATATCTTGAGAGGAGATTTAGGTAACTAGGAAAGCGTTTTCATTGAGGATGTGGTAGTTTTAATTCCAATTTGCTGAAAAGGAATGCTAAGTAGAAGTGGGGGGGAAAGATAGTACTAAGGATAGCAAAAAGCTGACTGAAGAAAAAAACTTATGATTTATTTACTGTGTGATTTTGTTGAGATTAATCTTCATATACATTTATAATACAGATATCAAATGCTTATATAACCATTTGATGTGATGGGGCAGGGAGGACAGAAACTTCACTGAGGAGTCTTAAAAATGATGCCTAAAACTGAAAAATCAAAAGTAGTTCAAGACAGGTCTTTATTATTTGTTTTGAATGCCTTGTAATAAGCAGGAACATTGCCTACAAATTCCCTTTTGTTATAAATTAGTATAAATATGTTTTTCTGGTATTTAAATCATTTAACTTATTTTTTTGTGGTTGAAAGATCAAGATTAAGGAACTTTAAATGTAAAACATTGAAAAAATGATAAAGCAGCTTACAGGGAAAATTATAAATATATACACTAAATATTAATAATATACATCAGTTAAATATATACTTGTTCATCAAAAGATTTAATGACAATTTAAAGTTAAGAAGGAAAATGTTTCATAGATCATCCTCAATTGAGTAGTGTACTGAGTTCTCCTGTGATGTATAAATTAGATTATTTCCAGTAAATGTGGTAGGAATTTGGAAATTTGTACTGACTTTTTCCCTTTTATTCTATCAGGATGTAGATATGATGGATCAGAATGGGATGACTCCTTTAATGTGGGCAGCATATAGAACACATAGGTATGTAACCATTATAAGATATTCAGATAATTTTAAACACAATAAAATATAAATGATGAGAAAAAGCAATTAATACACTAATACTTAAAAATTTTTACTAAGAATATATAACAGCATAAATGACTCTTTAGATGTTTGAGTCTGTATGTTTCCTTTACCTTAATAACTGCAGTATCCTTAATCTGTTCCTCTTTTAACAGTTTCCAAAAATGGAAGCCATTATTTTCTTTTAAAAATGTAATTCGTTTCACTTGATTTGTATGTTGGGAATTTAATGTACTGTGATAAGTTGCATTAAATCATTTTCAGAATAATCCAAATTTAATTTTAAAAATTTAGTTATGTAGAGATTAATCACATTAATCTCTAGATAAATCAAAATACAGTATCAGCAGCAAGTTTGCTCCCTCTTGGAACTATGTTACTTTTTGTGGTGTAACACATACTTAATACCTCATATCAGAGTCTTTTCTCATTACTGATTATAAAGTTGTTGAGAATAGGTTAGAATAGAAGTGTTCCAAGATGGAATATAAATGCAACCACAATCAGTTTAGTATCTGCAATGATTTCTATAATTGAAATTAGGCTTGTTGTTGTTGTTTGTTTTTTTTTTTCCTTTTCAGTGTGGATCCAACTAGATTGCTTTTAACATTCAATGTTTCAGTTAACCTTGGTGACAAGTATCACAAAAATACTGCTCTGCATTGGGCAGTGCTAGCAGGGAATACCACAGTCATTAGTCTTCTTCTGGAAGCTGGAGCTAATGTGGATGCTCAGAATATCAAGGTAAAAATATCTTATATTGATTATGCTATGTGAAATGTACTAATGTTACTAAGATGTGAATTCCTTGATAAAACATAGGTTTTTCACAGACTGTTAAAAATGGCAGAAACTTTATTCAGCCCTTTGCTTCCATAAAGGAATTTGTTTTAAAGGACTTATTTACTTAAATCTTTCAGCATTGAAGTGATTTTCAGAATTTGGTAGCCATTTCAAAGTGAAATCTTAATGGCATTGGAAATTTATATGTAACCTTGTAGCTAAAGAGAATAGTTTTCTGGTTTCTTTAATATCCTTTCAGAAACTGAATAATTTGTAGTTAAGCCACATGCATAGTAACTTTTAGTAATTCTTTGATTTGGTCATTTATTGTCTTAATTTTTTAAAGGTCAAGGCCTTTTAACTTTGAACATATTTATGATGTTTGTAGGAGAACTCCTTTCCCGAATCCAGGAAAAGTATACAGAATTCTTTAAGAGCAATGCAAAATTATAGACATTTTATAAGTATCTACCTGAAAGAAAATTCTTTTTCAACAACAGACTCTTTCTTAAAATGACTAAATTTGCAAACATCCTCTTATGTGCATTCATAAATAATTTTGTATCCATTAACAAATATGCTTTAACTGTAAATCATAGTATTTTCTGAGTTGTGTTTTTTTGTTTCTAAGAATATGTGCTAATTAAACATAAAAGGGATTTAAATCACATAATAATCAACTAGCAATCAAAAAGTAGGTTATCTCCTGCTGGATCAGGGCTTCTGTTTCAATTAAATAGTTCTTTAGTCAATTATTTCAAGAAGGTTAAACTACTAAAATAGCTTAGACTATTTTACATGGACCTTAATAGTTTTAAGATAATAACCAATTTTTAATTTATCTGATACATAATTAAGATTGACTTGATAAAAATAAGTTACGTTTTGTATAATTCCTGTTTACTTCTGGAGTGATACTATTTTTAAAGAAAATTCTAAGGAGTTGTTTGGGTAACACTTATACTGGCAGAGTATAAATAAACTTTCTGTCCACATGGTGAAAAAGAAATTTTTGTATTACAGTGATTTTTTTTTTTTAACTCAAAGGGTAAAATAAAATAAGCATCAGATGCTTTGGCATTGTTAATATACTTGTGTGGATTAAGTCATCACCACCTAATGTAAACCATTTATTCATTCATGCAACAAATATGTGTTTGGTGCTGGGGTGTCAGCATGTTTAAGACAAATGAAACTTCCCAGAACTTACATTTTATTAAGGAAGTAGACAATAGTAAATTAATACAAACAGACCACACAGGCAAATGTGGTTGAGTGATGAAGGTTGAGAGGGTGGGAGAGTGTCACATTATGTGAGAGTCATTGCTTCCTCAGATGCCTCTGAGAAGATGGAATTCTTTGAGACTTGAAGATGGAATTCTTTGAGACTTGTCTGACAAGAAGGGATTAGGGAATCAAAGATAATGTGAGTCAAAATTTTCCATGTAGAGGAACCCAAAAGTGCAAAACCAAAGGCTTAGAATAAATTTTTCATTGCAGAGGTGCTGAAATAAGGACAGCTTGGATAAAGTGCAGCAAGCAGGGGGATGAAGCCACTGATAAAGAGTTGGGAGGCTGATTACATAAATCTTTGTGTTTTAAGTATTTTTAAGAGACTATTTTCACTGGCTGTATACAGAATACATCAAAAAAATTAAGAAAAATGTAAGGGACAGATGAACATCTTTTAGGCTATTGCAACAAATCAGGCAAGTGTTGATGTTAGTTGAGCTAAGTGTAGTAGAGATAGAGAGAAATGAATGAATTTGGAAATTATAGCTTAGAATAGAAATGAAAAGGTAGATTAAAGAATGAAAGAAACCATTGATGATTTAGTGACCTTGGTTTGAATATATTGCAGTTGTGAAGACTGAAGGAAAAAGGATAAATGTAGTATGAACTTTCTCTGTTTCAGTCAGAACTAATATGTGTGGTGCTTTTTTAGCTGTGGGAAGTCAGGCTAATATAGTTAACTGCTGTAAGTTTTGAGGGGAAAATTTATTTCTAAAAATTTTATAATTGAAGTCACATTTGTTTATAATATTGAAGTAACATTTGTTTAAAATAATCAGATTTCAGGTGTACAACATTGTAGTTCAACATCTGTATTCTGCTACATTATGAATGCCACCAGGAAAGTATTCATTAATTAAAAAATCTTATGTTCTTTATCTGGGAAGTTGACAAATAGAGTTGTCTGTATCTGTACCTTTTTCCATGTTTGATTTTAGGTCTTAGGAAAGAGTCTGATTGATAATCATGAACTAGGGCAAAAATATGTAGCCTGCAATCTGGCTATGACTTTTTAAAAGGCTAGTGAAAGTTACATTAGTCAAAGACTATAAAAAATTACATTTTGTATTATAGTTACAGAACTGTTAGTTGATCATATTGTAAAACAACTATTTCCTAAATAGGATAAAGCTTTAGTTTACGGAAATCTGTCTTTACTTTAAACTAGTTATTTATCCTCATAAATTAGATGTTTGAGGAGGGAGGTTATCTCCTTTACAGTATTAAATGGATATGTTTTTTAAAATAAAAATAAGATAGTATATATTTTGAAAATAGTATTAAATTATAGATAACTTTAAAATGTCAGTTTTGGTCTTCAGAAGGATCAGGGATGGTCATAAATCCTAGACTTTTAAAGGCTCTTAATCTAGGACCCATTAGTAAGGTTTATTTAGGAACCTTTGATATTGTTGTAAGTTTTATGGAAAGAACTTCTGTGGGGAAGAGGGCCAAACTTTGAACAGATGTGAGTCAAAGATTTTATGTACTTTGGCCTCAGGTAGTAGTTTTATAGAATATTCAAATCTTATTAAGTAATGATAATAGGGTAATTAAAAGTGATTTGGGATACTGAGATTTATTTTGTTTAAATGTATATGCAGTGATCTCTTTTTATGGTAGCATCTCATTGATAAGTTTTTAAAAAGTAATATTTTATCCCCTAGGACATGGTTTTTGGTTACACAGATGAATTGAGTTTTGAGCAAACACTCTCTTGAGTGCTGCTTAAGCATTTATAAATTGTTTTTCCTAAAAATCATCAAAGGGCGTAATTTTTAGCTTGTTGCAGAATGAAAATTACTAATATATTGAAAGATAAAGTTTTTGAAGGATTCTTTGATGGTTTTTGGAAATGAGGTTAAAAAAACTTTTCAGAAAATGATTTTCATTACCTCTTAAGAGTACCCGACCTAGATAGTGTCCAGGGAAGAATTTTTTTTTTTTTTAGTTTTAATCATGAAATTCAACCTCACTTAGCCAAGACTGGTCTTCTACCCCGCCATGTTTCTCTCTCCCTTGAAAAAAATATTACCAGTTATATAGTCTATCAATACTCCATGATACTTGAGGTTATTGCTATTACGACTCTCATTGACTTTTTTAATTTACACATGGAGTGATCAGATATAGACTTGATTTGCAAACCTCGTTTTAGTGTAATTTTTAAATTAATTGCTTGCTTATATTACCAGCTGAATAAAAGAACTATACAGAAATAGCCAGGTGACTAGAATAGTAGTTGATTTCCTAAAGCTCCCTCCATCTTTTTATCTAGGCAATCCTTAGGTGTCACATGGCCCTCTAGTGGAAGGGATGCTCAGCTGGACCGAGGCAACTGCAGGATATTCTCTGGGAGTTGTTACTCAAGGGATTGCTTTTATTCAGGTAATCTTTATAGTTTGGATTAATTAGCTGGTTCCAACAACTTTAGGTGATAGAATTTTCAAATAGGTAAGGAGATATTTTAAAGTAAATTTCTCTCCTTGTGGAAGACACACCTAGATCAGCCCAGTTCTTACCAAATATTTTTCTTCCACAAATTGTTTGAGTTATTGTTACTGTGCTGTTGCAGTTTTTTTATTGGTGGTAGTGGTGTTTATTTTGTATGCTTATTTTTGTTTTTCAGTTGTTTATTTAAAAAAGCTACACCTGATAATCATCCTCTCAATAAGTAAAGACACCCCAAAACTCATTTCTTGATTTCATTAAGTTTTTTCAAACTAAATTTCAGTGTTTTTAAAATAATTGACTATTCATCTGTACTTTCTTGAAATTATAGCAAACAAATTTATATTATACTTTTCTATTTAAGGAAGTTAGTAGTGGGTAATTTTTTAATAAATAGAAATGTAGGTATATAGTTTGTAAAAGGAAACTTATTAAAGGAAAAAGAAGCATAGATCTATAGTTGGGAATGCTTATTTTTTGTTTCTTCATTTAAAACATTTTCATTTTATTCACTTACTCTCTTTGGCATTGTTTTTCTGGAGATTTAAAGGAACCACATTCAAAACCTGAGGTTTTCCATCTTTTGTTTTTGCTCTTGTTCTCTGTGGAAATTTTTGGATGGGTAAATTTCATATAGATCAAGAACATCAACATAATAGTAATAGAAGTTGAACTTCTCTTTTTCATATTAGTATTTTTGTAATCATTGAAATTAATATAATTTGGTATTATAGCAGAATGTTTTATAAAAATAACTTTTACTAACGAATTCCTTAAAAAGTATAAAATAACCATTAAAACAGTGATAGCTTCTGATCCAGCAGATGATAACATACCTTTTGATTTACTCTCTAATACAGGACACAATACAAGTGAAAATGAATCTATGGAGTATAATGAATAAAAACACATTCTGATTATACTTTGAATGAGAAAGCATAATTAGTAATATGCAATGATTTATTCTTTTGGTAAATAACTTTGGCCATTATAAAAAAGCTAATTAATTCATAGAGTAGTCAATTTATTTTCATGGAATGCTTTAAAAGTTAATAGCTATTAAGTTTTCTGTTTTTTATTTTTAATGTGATTTTCTTCAATTTATGTTGTCAGGGTGAATCTGCACTTGATTTGGCAAAGCAAAGAAAAAATGTATGGATGATCAACCATTTGCAGGAGGCAAGGCAAGCAAAAGGATATGACAATCCATCTTTCCTTAGAAAGCTAAAAGCTGATAAGGTAAATTCATGATTGAAGATTTTTAGTACATAAGATTTTTTAGGTGAGATTCATAGACAAACATTCTTAGCATGAGTATTTATGGTGTTTAATTTTCTCACTGACCAATGTAATTTGTAAAATACTATTTCATCCAGAAAATGAAGGTACATAGTAAAGTTTCTCAGACTGCCTATGTGGTTAATGTGCCAGATTTGTATACTCTGAGATATAAGAAAGATGGGCATAGGTGAAATTGTTTAAATATCCATAGGCTACTTAATACAAATTTTAGTTCAGATTATTAGACTAACTTAAAAGTAAGATATAAAACCATAAAATATTTAGGAAAAAATCATTAGAATCTAGGCCTACATAGATTATATATGAAAAAACATGGCACATAAAAGTAAAAATTGATCAAATACATTGTCATAATTGAAAGCTTGTTTATGAAAGATCTGTGTTTTAATAGGGTGAAAAGATAAAATGATTTACTATCATATACTTCTTAGAATAACTAAAATAAAATGTTATGATAACACTAAATACTGGTGAAGATTCAGAGAGATTGGATTACTTACTCATTATTGATGGTAATGCACAATAATACAGCACCCTGGAGAAAAGTTTGACAGTATCTTTAAGACTGAACATGCATTCAGCTATACAATCCAGAAATGCCCTCTTAGGCATCCCAGAGAAACCTGTATCTGTTTATGGAGCCTGTATTCATAATTGCCCCAGATTGGAAACACTCCCAAAGTCCATCATTTGGTGAATGGCTAAATAAACTGGTACATTTATAGTGTGAACTGTCCTTAGCAGCAGCAACAAAAACAATGAACTAATGGTACTTGCAGTAATCTGAATGAATCTCCAGAGGATTCTTTTGAATGAAAAAGTCAGCCCATAGAACAGTTCGGTTACATGATGTATAATTTCATTTCTATAAAGTTCTTGAAATGGCAAAATTATAGAAAAGTAGAACAGTCTAGTCTATTTGCTAGAGATTAAAGACCAGGGTTGGGGATGTGAGAAGGAACTTATAATGAGATGCAATGTAAGATATCCTTGTAGTGATGGAAATTCAATGTCAGTATTCTGGTTAGGATATTATACTATTGTTTTGCAAGGTGAGAGTCCTTGGGGGAACCCAGGTAAAGGGTATTGGAGATACCTCTCTTATTTATTGCAACTACATGTAAAACTATGGTTATTTTAAAATAAAAGGATTAATCTGAAATTTGGATAACTGAATTATAGAATTAGGTCCTGTCTTAATATTGACAGGTAGTCACTACGAAATTCAAATGTAGTGTACATTTGAAAATTTGCATGATATAAGAAAATATATTTCTTAGCTACTAAAGCAGTGTGCCACCATCTTTATAATTCAATATGTAGTTAAATGCCAGTTGGGAAAAAAAAATGTATATTGGATCCGTAAGTCCCACACATAGATATTTATTCTAGTGAAGTGAATTTATTTTTACACGAAAACCTACATGCATTTGTTTATAATGGGTTCATTCATAATCATCAGCATCTGGAAACAATTTGAATCTCAGCTGTGGATGGATAAACAAATTGTGATACATATTTAATAGAATACTACTCAGCTTTTAGAAGGAAAGAACTATGATACATGCAACAACATGGGTGAATGTCTTAATACAGTCCATATGTGAAGGACCAAACTTAAAACACTGCATTCAGTATTCTATTTATATGACAGTTCTACAGGGGGAAGAAAAATAGAGACAGGTATCAGATTAATGTTTTTGAAGACCTGAAGTTGCTGGTCATCCTTGTCTCTTAGTTATCAGCTGTTAAAGTAGAGTGATATTTGTCAAATACTGTTTTCTACCCTTTTCACATGTTAGCAGGTGGTAGTACTATCCTCTGTATCTGACTTCCACAGCTACTCTTAATCATCGTCTGCTTTTAACCAAGTGCTCTTAAGTTGTTTGTTTAAATGTCTGTCACCAAAAGACAGAGACCAACCCTTTGGGTAGTTCCGACACATAGTGGGCAAATTGGCATGAATTAATTTTACACTCTGTCAACACATTTTCACAAAAATAACAGTGGCTCAGCTGAAGTTACTTTACATATGTAAAACTTTCAATAACTATTTTTCTGTACAGGAATTTCGGCAGAAAGTCATGCTAGGAACTCCTTTCCTAGTTATTTGGCTGGTTGGATTTATAGCAAACTTAAATATTGATTCTTGGCTCATTAAAGGGCTAATGTATGGTGGTGTTTGGGCTACAGTACAGTTTCTTTCAAAGTAAGTGCTATTTTGAATTGTATATGAAAGTATAATTTGTACCCTGCCATAAAAGTTTGTTTCATGTTTAGGACACTGCATTTAATATAACATTTTATCTTAATATTTAAGAATTCTGGCAAATTTCTATGTGAAATCTTTCAGAAATTAACATTGCTATTGAGATCGTTTAAGGTGTATTCGATGACAAAGTTCAGTGTATATTTTTTCAGATTAAAATACAGTTTAAAAAAAATTCTGTGAAAGTGGATTTGAGTCTGTTGAACTGTATGTATATATATATAGTTTATTCTAGGTGATTATAATCCTTGAGTTTGCTTTTCACTAGGAATTATATTATCTTTGGTCATAGGAAGTTTGCAAGAAGGATGTTTTATATTAATAGCAAGGTAGGGTCTGAAGTATGCAGTAGGTTAGTGTTAAGTTTTCTTCTTTTTTTTTTTTTGTCTTTTCCCTTCTTTTTATAAAATTCCTTTGCCTGAAAGTTCTTCTACCCAGCAAACATGCACAGTTCAATTTGACTATTGTAGTTAGTGGGTTGTAATTGAAAGATTTGCCAAATTGAAACATTTGCCATGGGGAGGTGTAGCCATTGAGAAACTACAGTGAAACATAAAGAAAAACATGTTCTCAATTGTTAAGATGATAAGATGTCTTTTGTGAATAATATGCTGAGTGAATGTATATATTCTAAAGTAAATTATTGATTTAAGAGAGTAGGTATACTCAAAAGTTTTGAAGTTAAAAAGTACATGAAATATTACTTGTGAATTAAAAGTAGCTTCAGAATCTTACAGTTATCTATTGTTTATTATGTTGAATGTATATCTCATATCTTTAAAAACTTGTTTCACAGATCCTTTTTTGATCACTCAATGCATAGTGCATTGCCCCTGGGGATATATTTGGCAACCAAATTCTGGATGTATGTGACATGGTTCTTCTGGTTTTGGAATGATATCCTTTGCATCAAAAATCAAAAGCAATTTTTCTTATTTAAACAAATGTTTAATAATAATTTGGACTACTCACTGTTTGCTGTAGTAAAACATTCCTAAAAAAAGAATGTGTGGACTGATGAATACTGCTTTTAATGTTTCATATTTAATACATTCTGAGTGATTTTGACTAATAATGTGGTTCACTTTTGCATGTTATTAAGTTATCCTTTTTCTTGTTTTAGTTGAAAAAAATTACTGCCTTTGAGACCAAGACAGAATTGTAACTTCACCTTTAATTCTTATATTATTATCCTATGATTACATTCAGAAAGTTTACTTTTTAATTACTTTTTAAACATAAATATCTGTTGAAATTTTCCAAATTCAGTATTGTGGATTTATTAACTTTGAATTCACTTCATTGGTACCACATAACCTGTGCATGAACAAAACACACTAACACATTTTTTTTTTCGCCATAAAGGATATTTTTCCCAGTATAGGGGCATTAGATAACACTTCTGTGCTATAGTTGGAGTCCATTTTAAACAACAGAGTCACAAACATGGTCTATGCTTAAATAGCCCATGAAAAGGACACTTGTTTATAGTAGGACTGATGGAAGAAAAAAGCAGAGTATTTCCTTGTTCAACTCAGCTGGAATGTGTTTAGAGTGACTCATTTTCTTACTACCTTGACTATAGCCATGAATGACTGTAAAACATGGTATTGAACTTTGGGATTATACACAAATTCTAGTAAGTAGACGTAAGGTCAGTTACATAAACTTTAGTTTTTATGATACCCAATTTAGTGTTTTTATGGTAATTCATTTTATAACAATATAAGCTATTTTAATAAATGACTTATTCTTCTTAGTGAATGATTATCACCTTACTTTTGTTCAGTTTTTTATAGTATTTTCAGATACCTTATTTGTATGCCAGGTCATTTTTTTTTTTTTTTTTTTTGAGATTAAATGAAACAAGTCACACATATCATAATGCTAATACTGATAAAGGAAAAACAAGTTCAGATAACATTTATTTTGTAACATAGATTTCTAACTATTGAGAATCTGGTGTGGAACTCAGCTTTTTGTCCTGATGTATATTTTTTTATATTCTGAATATAGTCTTAAGATGGTAGACATCCCTGAAAAGTAGTTTGGAAGCCTATTAAAAGAACTTTAAAAATACCCTTTGATCTCTTAATCATTTTATTTTAAGGATATAATCAGGATAAAATTATAGATTTATTTACAAGTCTGTTTATCATAACACTATAATAGGGAGAAAATGGAAATAAACAAAATATCCAACTTGAAAAAGAAATAGATTTACTAGTTATGCAACGTATGATATTTGGTGAGATAAGCCATTAAATTTTTTTCCTTAAACAATCATATGGGCTCATGCTAAGAATTTAGTAAGTGATAAATGCTGTTATAGCTATATAGTGATTCTGATTTTAAAATGGATAAACTGTAAGAGCTTAAAATGAGTAGATTCACGAATAGCTTTGATTTTTAGTGGTGGAAGTGGTTCATGATATTTAAGCTATTCTGCTTCTCCAAAGTGTTTGGCAAAATATTCTTGGTCATTAAATATTCTGAGAATAAAATCCCATTTTTAAGGCTTGCTATAAAATCTTTATAGTCAGATTTTTGTCCAGAAAGATATACAAATTTATAACCTACTGACAAAGCATTGCTTAATTACTATTTAATTACCATTCATACTGAGTAAAGAGAAAGTGTTGCCAATTTTAGAGGCAAAGTAGCTTTATTTTATTGTCTATAAATTTTAATTTATAATTATTCTTTTATGCTTAAGCAGTTTACAGTTAGAGATAGGACACTTATCAATGTTCTTAAATGTATTTGGGTTTCCTTTTTTCACATTTAACGCTTTGATGGATTGGGTATTTGATGCCTACTCTGAACATCAACTCTTACTTTTTATAAAACTCAACAGAAGAAAATAAAAACAGAAGATCAACCTTAAGCCCCAGAAAAATAAACTTTTAACTGTTCTGATAAATACTAGCAACAACTCTGGAAAGGGGAAAAGTCACATCATAACATTATGTTTAAACTTAGAGGTCAAAGATTGTGGCATGCTGCCTGCAGTAGTTCTTACCTCTGTCAATAAGCAAAGTAAGTAATGTAAATGAGACACTCATCAGTTCCCTTCAGGTTGTCTTATATGGATTAAACTGTGATCATATAACACCCCCGGCGCCAAATTCATACACTGAAGCCCTAACCTTTAATGAGATGGTATCTGGAGGTATTATTTAGAAAGTACTTATGGTTAAATGAAATTATAAATACAATGTCCTAATCTGATAGAAATATGCTTGTATAAGAAGAGGTTAATTCAGTAATCTATGATTATTTACATGTTAACACTTTTTAAAAACTGTTATAATGTCAATATTATCCTTTGAAAAGTACTAGATTCAGCATTATTTACCTAGTTTTAGTCTCAGATGATTTTTAGTTGTTGAAACAGCTGAAAATTTGAGGTTTTCTTCCTTTCTTTTCCTTCTGTAAGTAGTTTGTTTATTTGATATTCACCAAACAAATACAAAATCATTTTCTTCAAAAAACTTTTATCTGCCCTTCATAAAAAATATAAACTTATACAATAGATATATGATAGCCAAAAAGTCTTACAAAATTCTTCTATCTACATAAAGTCTTGTCCGTGGTATTTGAATATTACAGATATTTTGTTTTGGAGGGGTATGGAAGGGTATTGCTATAGCACACTGCTTCATTTTTCCTAGTGTTATTTAAAGTAGTCTTTGATTTTTCGCTTAGGTTTATAAGCACCTGGTACATTTCTTATGTTTTCATTCGAAAAATTATGAACATAAAAAATAGTACTGTTTTAAGAAGTTTATAAATACTTTCCCTAAAATTAATATAAAAAAATCTATTTGACTTAATTTTATAAAAAGTCTATTTGGGCCCTCCCTGGTGGCGCAGCGGGTTAAAGCACTGCACTGAGAAGCTAAAGCCACTTCTGCATGAGTTCGATCCCCGCCTGCCTTGGAGGAGACCACATGGCGTGGCAGACCTCTCCTGACCCACCCGCTGCTCCCCTCAGCAGTGTACTTCACCGATCTGCCTATTCTGCTCCCCGCTCTGTCTCTGGTGACGCCTCTCACTGCCCCTGAGCCTCTTGCCTGTACCCCGGTTCTGAATGTACAAATAAATAAATCTTTAAAAAAAAAAAAAAAGTCTATTTGACAGTGTATTTGACTAGGTTCTCCAAAAGATAACACAGAATTTAAAAGCAGTTTTTTAACTATATAAATATAATGTCTGAAGTATTAGTAGATGTGTAATGATTATAGTGCATATAGCTAGAATACTAATAACTTTTAACACGAGAAGGCCTTTCATTTGCGTCAGATGAAATAATTGTAAGAATAGTGTATTCAATGATTTTTTTTTTTTTTTTTGGTAATGTAGCCCACTGCTACTCTGGAAAGGGTAAAAGCCACATCTTTATATTTAGTTATGAACATAATAGAAAAGCTTGATTTTCATGTACCTCTAAGTGGTTTGGTGTCATGGAAAACCAAGTTGTATAGCGGGTGTGATTTATTTTGATACAGTAAAAAAAAAACAGTTTTTTTTTTCTTTTTGATCATTATTTGTGTGTTGGGGGGGTACAATTTTATGGATTACTTGTAATAGCAACTCACTTACCTTTGCGTCTTTAGATTCCTTAACTTTAGGCACATCTCAACTTTTTATTTATCCATCTTCCATTCCTTGCCAATAGTGTTGCACTTTTCTACAATTTTGGAAAATCATGGAAATCAGATCCAGGGATTATAAAAGCTACAGAAGAACAAAAGAAAAAGGTAGCAAGATATAATCTCTCTAGTGTTTTAATTGCGGAACTATCAAATTTATAGCAGATATGAGAATAAAAGAAACTCATTTAGAATGTAAAGATGTTTCAAGCCAAGTGAGTGTGTATAGTAGTTGGTGCTTATACTTGTTGCATTTGTAATACTTGTCCCTTCATGTCCATGATACTTTATAATTTCATGTTCATTTCCTTTATAAGGCTACTGTATTTGCTTTAGTTACTACTACAGTTAATTTTTCCCTCTTATAGATGAGACAAATAAAATATTTTAAACATCTCCATAAAACATTAGAAAAGAGTGTGCTTTTGGTAATTGTTGAATAGCTATGTCAACTAGGAGGCCAGTGAATTAGTTGATTATGCAGATAGTAATTCCAGTAACTGAAATATTTGTATGTATGATCCAGTGAATCCCTCACTAAGCCAGGTATTCAGAAACCAAATTGAAAATCTAAAGATGTCACATAAGTAGAGAATTAGACTAAAGGGAGTTATACTATCTTAACAGGTATTTTATTGAGTCTGTAAACACAAAACAAATACAGATGAATTATTCTGTCCACAAAAGACACAAAATTCTGGCAAAAATAGACTGGCTATCTCTTGTGCCCTGGTCTTTTTTCTAGAATGTGTCACAGAGATTGCTTCTGTGATACTAGTCTTTTACAAACATTATTGTTAATTGGTTTGTGAGGGTTTCTTAGTGATAAACGAGTTCTGAACATTCATTTTTTTGTTGGACTTAAGTTTGTTTTTATGTTTTGGTCAAATTATATAGCCCAATTCTTAAGAATTTAGTTTTATTCTCATTGAGTTCTCCCAAAACTAAGTTTAGGATTACCTTTTTTCATATCCAAGAATAAAATTTCTTATATTCACACTTCATTGAAATAAAAGTAAATAAGCAAAGGATTTTACTGTTTGGAACTGAAAACATCAGTTCATTAAAGATGAATATCCTGAATATATTAGTTGATAAACATTCAGTTTTTAATAAAATATATATATTTTTTCAATTCACAGACAATAGTTGAACTTGCAGAGACGGGAAGCCTGGACCTCAGTATATTCTGCAGTACCTGTTTGGTAGTATTTTAAAAATCTTTATTTTTCTCTTCTTGTAGCCTAGTATACAGAGTGTAGGAAACAAGGAGAATGGCTTCATTCAGTGAGCATATTTCATGCTCTACCAAAAAGTATCTTTTTGGTAATGGCATAAGAGGAAAGATACTAAAAGGATACCTCCTTTCCTGTGTGTATAACATGTAAAATAGTGAAATGTCATAAGTTGTTTTATTACGTTTCAAGAAGTAAATAATGTATTTTATGGGTTTTTGCACGAAATAGGAACTACCTATGCTTCTAAGCATGTTGGGCTTCTCAGATATGGTCATACGTTTTATCAGGGAAAAATGATGTAATTCCTTGCTATAATCTCAGGAGGAATGTTAAAGAGAAATTAGGTGTGTACAATTAACTGTTTTTGCTGTATTTGTTAACTTTGAGAAGACATTTTATTAATGGCTTTGAAATTTAAAAGCTCCCTTCATTCTACAATCAATATTACTACCTTAATCACAATGACTTTTCATTTAGTAACCTGAAGAGTGATGAGTTGAGTGTAAAGTTTTTTTTATTCAGAAATTTGCGGAATGTACATTAAATATAATACCATTCATTGCAACAGTAAATTGGTTTTTGATTCTTGGGTTTTAAAATATATTTCTGTTCCATTCTTAACAGTTTACTTTCTATAGTAGCCTTATCCTTTTCATATTTGTTGCATTTGATAGTTCATTAAACTAAGCAATTTGTGATTTTTGTTTGATTTCTTTTGGTAACCATAGTATAATTCTCTAAAAAATTACCTTTCAAGAATAATGTATTTTCATGATTGTAGTACTTTGAGATTATATATATATGTGTGTGTGTATATATATATATATATATATATATATATATTTAGTTTTTCTCCTTAGGTATAGTGTCTTTCATAATCTTTAACTTGCCTATTAACAGATACGAAAGCCTGTGAGGTCCAAACATTGTGGTGTCTGTAACCGTTGTATAGCGAAATTTGATCACCATTGCCCATGGGTTGGTAACTGTGTAGGTAAGTTTTAGTACTTCTAAGTGTATTTCTAGATGTGTTTAGGAATGTCTAAAGTACTTTCCATTTAAGTTACTCTAGATAAATAATGAAGTACAGTATTAAAGTGGCTAGTGCACCCTGCTGTACCCTCCTCCCCTCCATTCCTCCAGTTACCTACAAAACAACAGTTCGGTCGGGGGGTGGGGCGGGGTGTAAAAATCACTATTATAAAAAAAGATTGATATCATTTATCAATTCTTCCTGGTGTCCAATTACTCCTGTTTTTTCCATTGTACAGTATGAGTCAATAAGGAAACAAATAGTATTGCTTTTTAGTTAAACTAGAGCAAGTAAGGCAATAAAAATGCATAAAAGGATGTTATGTACAGAGGCATAACAGAAGACTTATATACAGTCTTTTATGACTGTAAAGAAGAAACGAATGTTTTATACTTCATAAAGCAAATAGTAGTTACTTTTGTTATTAAAGCTTAGAATTGTGATTTATTGGGTTCCTTTGCCTTCAGAATGAAGGTTATTGCAGTCACCACATCTTTGTGCATAAGTACACTTATGCACGCCTTTTTAAAATTTATACATCTATTAGTTTTACATTATTATTAATTTTTGTGCAGTGTTTGCTTTCTCATTTCAGGTGTAATCCCAAAAAAATTCCCACCACCAATTCGCACAAGAGCCATCACCATACTCCCTTGTGTTCTTTTTCCCCCTGTTTTGATTCCTCTCCCCCTTCCCTGCAGAATGTCTCTTATAGTAGTTGCCTGCTAATTTTTTAAAATTTATTATTAGTTATATATTTTCTCCTGGTGCCATATTTGGTTCCTCTATATTCTTCCTATAAGTGAAACCATCCAATATTTTTCTTTTTCCTTCTGGCTTATTTCATTGAGCATAATTCCTTCACACTCTTATTTTAGACATTGAAACACTTTTTCTTAAAGAACATTTTATAAAATGATGTGTGTGATTATTGTCCCAGTTGCTTTACATCTTTCAGGGCATCTCCCACCTTTACCTCCTGATTGCAAAGGTATATTTCCAGATATTTTTTTCTTAGCTGAAAAAAATTACTTCTGTTCTTTAGGTGCAGGCAACCATAGATACTTTATGGGCTACCTATTTTTCCTGCTTTTTATGATCTGCTGGATGATTTATGGTTGTATTTCTTGTGAGTACAATTTGGTTTTTTTTTTAACCTTTTTAAAACACAAATGCTTGTATTCCTCATGACAAGTCTTTTAACTAAATGTTATAATTTGGACATCTTGCCACAATGAAGCAGAAGGAAAAATACATATAAAACTTACCAAAGATGTTCAGTATATAGTATGAGCAACAGAATTGTTAAGTTTACCTTTTAATATGTGTATCCTTTCAAAATGTGTTGACTTAAAGCTTTCAAAATCCTCTGAGTAAAGTACATTTTTTACATGCTTGCTTTATTCTGTTGATTTATAGATTTTGTAGCTGTGCTACTTGTTCTTTCTTATCAAACAATTGGAAGAATGTAACTGAAGTTAAGTTTATGCAGACCTTGAGTTATTTTGAAAGGTTAGATATAATTGCATTGTAAAGAATATTAAAAGATTAGAAATTACTCTTAGGAACAAGGTGTCATTCATCTGATTGAGTTGATTAACATTTTTGAAGAAATGGTTATTTTAATTGCATTTGAGAACATAATTTGAGGATAGTTTAAATAAAGCTATTAGTTAGGATGCTTCAGGACTTGGTGGCACTTAGCATAAAATTGTACTAGAGGCTACCTTAAAAATTAAGGGCCCTCTCCCTGGTGGCGCAGCGGGTTAAAGCACAGCACTAAGAAGCTAAAGCCACCTCTGCATGAGTTCGATTCCCGCCTGCCCCGGAGGTAACCACATGGCGTGGCAGACATCTCCTGACCCGCCCACTGCTCCCCTCAGCAGTGTACTTCCTCTATCTGCCTGTTCTGCTCCCCGCTCTGTCTCTGGTGAATTCTCTCACCCTCCGCATCTCTGGCCTGTAACCCAGTTCTGTACAAATAAATAAATAAATCTTTAAAAAAAAAAAAAAAATTAAGGGCCCTCCCTGGTGGTGCAGTGGATTAAAGCACACCACTAAGAAGTTAAAGCCACTTCAGCATGAGTTCACTCCCCACCCCAGAGGTGACCACATGGCGCGGCAGACGTCTCCTGACCCACCTGGTACTCCCCTCAGCAGTATACTTCGTCTGTCAGCCTGTTCTGCTCCCTACACTATCTCTGGTGAAGCCTCTCACCACCCCTGCACCTCTGGCCTGTACCCCAGTTCTGTATGTATAAATAATAAATTAAAAAAAAATTAAGGCTCTGAAAGGATGATTTCCTACTTTCACATATACTAAGAATAATCTCTACTATTGCTCTAATGAAAAAGGGAGCTACTTCCACAAGCATAGGTAGAGAATGATTTGCTCAGAGATCTTGACCTAATTTTTTAACCATTACACTTCAGAGAAACTATTGTCCTGTTAATGACAGTGTTTTTTTTTTTAAAGATTTATTTATTTATGCTTACAGAATTGGGGTACAGGCCAGAGGGGTGTGGGGGGGGGCCGGGGTGGGGGGGCGATAGAGAGGGGGTGAGAGGATTCACCAGAGACAGAGTGGAGAACAGAACAGGCAGATCTACTGAAATACACCGCTGAGGGGAGCAGTAGGTGAGTCGGTAGAGGTCTGCCACACCATGTGGGTCAGCTCCCTAGTCAGGCATTGAACTTGTGCTACAGTGGCTTTGTAGAGCTTTGTAGAGCTTTGTAATGTGGTGCTTTAATTCATTGCGCCACCAGGAAGAGCCCAACAGTTTTTTTTTTTTTTAATGGCAGCTGCTCTGAGTCGATTTGTGTTATATACCCTCTCAAAAAAAAAATCTTAGCTTTGTATAAAGAAAATTTGTCCCTTACTATTATATGTATACACTACCACTCAAAAAGCAAGCCTGTATTGCTACCATAGTGTTTTTTTTTTTAAGATAGCCTGTTGCTTTTTCCATTTATGACTTTCATAAATGTTCCCCACCTACCCCTAGTAATATTGAGTATACACTCTTTGCATTGAAAGTCATCAGTTAAAGTCTAGGCTAATCAGTCATGTGTTTTAAGCCTAAGATACAATAAAGCCTCCAAGACGTTTGGATGGTTATGAAGTGAATGTATTTCTGTTCTGGTTTTAGACTGGGGACTCCACTGTGAGACCACTTACACCAAGGATGGATTTTGGACATACATTACTCAAATTGCCACATGTTCACCTTGGATGTTTTGGATGTTTTTGAACAGTGTTTTTCATTTTATGTGGGTGGCTGTGTTACTCATGTGTCAGATGTACCAGGTATGTGTAAATGTATTTCTTCTTCTCTGGTATACCGAGTTGAAATTTTCTTTTCTACCTCTTTATCCTCCCTCCTTTCTTCCCTCTTTTATTATGAACTTTTGATACTAAACAGAACCTTTTTATTTCTATTATTCCTTATTGAAATGTATTCTACTGGGTGTATATGTGAGCTTGGATTAATGATGCCATTAATTTTCTGTTCATTTCAGTAATAATGTTTCTTATCACCAAATACCAATATTTTTTCCAACAGTTGTTGTTTTTTTTTTTTTAAGGATTTAATGGGATGGTGGAAAGGGATAGTATCCTTCCAAGTGACTGGTTTTTAACCGTTTCCCAATTTAATTGACAACTTTCCAGCATCAAATTGATAGCATGTAAACTAGCTTGTTTTCCGGATGGAAACCTAAAATCTCTCCATTCTGGTCCCCTTGAGAATTGTTTTATTTTACACTAAATTTCAGAGACAGCTAATGATTTGCTTTCTCTTCTTAGATATCATGTTTAGGTATTACTACAAATGAAAGAATGAATGCCAGAAGATATAAGCACTTTAAAGTCACAACAACATCTATTGAAAGCCCATTCAAGTATGTACAATAATAGTGTTTTCCTTGGCATAGAAATGTCTTTACTAAGTTCTTTACTATTTATATTCCTTGGCATGTAAATTTCTTTACTAGCTAGTTAAGTACATTAAAGAAGAGTATTTTCACTAGGTATGTCAAGAGGATAATAGGCAGGAAAACTGTGTTTTGATTTTTTTACACAGCAGTAGGTAAAGTATATAAATTCTGTTGATTCGAAGATTTCTGCCAGGCTTAGTACTAGTTAATTTACTGTAACCTTAGAATTCATCATATTTACTGTATATAAACGTGATATTCCTTGTGCTACTCTTTTTATATATATTTTATCCTATGTGATATGTAAATTAGCATATTTTGCACTCAGTTTATATTTAGAAACTAATCTAATTATATGAAATATTTAAAACTTTTTAGTGTAATTCTAGCTACTTTTACTTCAAGCTTTTGCAGTGCTAATAATCATTACATGCTTCTGAAAAGCAAACACTTTTAAACCAAAATAATAGTCACTGGATAGTTTTTAGAATTCTCCTTTGGGCACAATAATTACAAAAAATTTGTTTTTGGATACCTAGAATTGCTTAAAGTTAAACTTGACATTCTTTGTTTTAATTATTAATCTTAGAACTGCTAAATTCATGCTATTGGTAATTATTCTGTCTTTGACTTTCTTGATTTTGGATATCATTTGTCTCCTTACTAGGGAGCCATCAATGAAAACTTTTATCAAAAGTTGTATGTGACACAATAATATAAGAAATGTAAATTTGAATAATTTAAAAATATAATTGTATATCCCATTAACTTAACAATAAAAGAATAATCAGTGTTGGCAGAGAATGAAGAACAAATGCATATATTATAACTAAGCTGGGATTTTATGTTTAAAAAAATATATTTAAGACCAAAATGATGTATTAAGTTCATTTAAATCATTGTACTAATCTTTTTTTTTTTTTTTTTTTTTTTTTTGCGGGGACTGTTTAGCCATGGTTGTGTAAGGAATGTTATAGACTTCTTTGAATTTCGATGCTGTGGCCTCTTTCGTCCTGTTATCGTGGACTGGACCAGGCAGTATACAATAGAATATGACCAAATATCAGGATCTGGGTACCAGCTCGTGTAGCAGCATCTTTAGCCTATGAAGCATATTGCTGAGTGGTGCCTGAAAATTGTGTCTGTCCGTGTCTCTCTCACACTCGAATCCACATCCTTTGAACAATAGCATGCTATAGGTAGGGCTAACAGTGAATTTTACAGCCTTTTTTTCAACACTTTTATTAACAAATGTAAACATGGACAGAACACACTGCCACTTCTGGGAAGAATACAAATCATAAAAAGACTTAATGGTTCTCAATGTGGGACTTCACAACATACTCAATGTTTTGCTTTTTTTCTCAATATTTTTCACAAGAAAAGAGTGAAGTTATTCTGTTGACAGACATGCTACACTGATGAGAAGTGTTTAATTCTAACTAAAACTAAATTTTATGATGCAGTCTGCTAATAGTATTGCATTTAATTCCAGATGAGTTGTCTTAAATTGATTCAGACTAGTATTATGTACATTTTAGAATGTACATGTAAATACTGTGATGAAAATCATGTGGTTTTTATTAGGGATCTACTGTAATGTATCTTCAAGGCACAAGAAAATAATGTTCACAAAAAGTATGCTAACAATATTTTATTGCTATCAGCTGTTGCACTGCTGATCTATTTCTAGTTCAGTGAAATAATTTGTAGTAACCTTGCTCTGAGGTTGTTTGGTCTGATAATAAAGCACTTGCATGAGTATAGTAAGTTATGTTATTTTGTTCAAACTTAAGAGCCCTACTAAGTGCATGATACATGTCATAGAATGTATACTAGCACATAATATCCAGTAAAACATAAATTACAATTTAATTTGTTCAAACAGTTCAATTTTAAGAGTTGAAACAGTATTTTTTTAAGAGGCAGAGTAAGTTGAAGCAAAGTCTCAACAACAGATAGATATACTTTTAAAATTCTGAGCTGCAAAATAAGTTGTAGACAAAATAATGGTGTTTAAAGGTGGAGCATGATCTCTGTACATAGTACATGTGAATAAAAGAAAAGCTAATGGTATATTTTGGGTTTTTAAAATGACCTATCAGAAAGAACTTAATTCCTAAGATTATTTCAAATTTTTCCAATACTGAATGTTTTTGGTATTTGTTAATGCTGTCTGGGACAATTTCAGAAAGACTTTATTGTTAAATGTGATGCACTGATCAATTTTTGTTGCAGCATTTCTATACTCCCATGGTGAACTATTAGTCACTACTTCCATAAATATTGTTTACAGAGTGAGACTTCGTTTAGTCCTCTTAAGTGCTGTAGCAAACTGTGGTTCGAGCAACCTGTGGGAAATGTGTGAGAGGGAATGGACTTTGGAGGGTGGGGAAAGGGTGGACTGATGACAGATCCTAGACCAGTGTAAAGATTGTGTATCTGTATATAAATAATTTATCAAATAGTTTTTTGTGTCTGTATGTTAGTGTATTTAAAGCTGCTCATTTCATTGTATCCAACCAAAAAGAAAAGGGAGATAACTAATGAGCTTCTAGTGATGTTCAATATTGCTGTTTATAGGCATTATATCCTGCAAGTTCACTGCATGTCTGATGCTTGGTAAAATTAGTATTCCCTGTAAAGTGCAGACTACAGATATTAAGCAATCTAGTGGAATACAGCCCCTTGCCTTAGTAAGAGGAGCAGTGAAAATGTATATAGTTGATGTTCAGTATTTCCAAGTACCATTTTTATATAGTAGGTTCCTTGACCATAAGTCACATATCAAAAAAAGATTATCCTTAGTGTATGTGAGTGTTTTAATATTAGAAAATTGGCATATGTACTTTATTTTTGAAAGGGAAGAGATGGGTGTGGGGTGGCATTAGCATTGTGCCATTTTGTCATAGACTGTAAAAAATTGGTTACCTTTACAAATGTCTGATAGTTTTGACTACTAATTGGGGGAAATTTTAGATAATTTTTAAATTCAAGTTATTTATAAAAGGCTAGAATTTGTTTTAATTTTTTGTACTTTGAGCCACTTCACATGAAGACTCAGTTGCAATTTTTATCGAATACATTTTTATTAACAGTTGAACATAATTGGTGGTTTTCTCACAGTTTGGATAAGAATGCTGTACCATGTCCTTTGTGGTACAGTATTCTTTTCAAAGCAAGTGAGATATCTTTCAGTTAAATAGAAAAAAAACAACTCTAGACGTTACATGGGAAACATTAGCAATGTGACTGCTTCATTACTAAATTCTCTCTCAGCACCAGAGTCTATAACCCAACCGTGGTCAGTGGCCAGGAGCCAGCTGTGCAGCAGTGTCCTGTCCGTGTGATTATTATACAGGTTTTGTATGGAATCAACTTAATAACTCAGTTCTAAGTTGTGCATAAAGGCGACCCTTTTGGAGAATAGTTTCTATCAGCTTAATTGGATACATTTAGCAAAATTGGAACTTCTCAGCTCTGAACATGAATTAATTCTTTGGATTTTTTTTCCCCTTCATATCTTGGTTGTTCCCAGGAATTTATTTGAAAAATTAGTATGTGTAAAACAGCACCATTATTCTTAAGCTATGGATATTTTTATTTTATATTTTATTTATAACTGTGCCAAGTATTATTTTGCTACTTACCGTGTTACTCTGTGGAAAGAAAAACCTGTAAAGTGTTTAATAAATTAGCTCTCCTTACATAAATTAAATGTCAAAATTTTTAAGAACCATTAATCAGAATAAATATTGACTCTTAAGTCTGTGTGTTTGACTTTGCTTAGTTTACGTTCAGGAAGTGATGAAACACTGGTAGTAATACCTATATAAAATTATACTATCTATTTACATCTGGGTCATCTAGGACACAGGTGGCATAAGACTGTAGAAATTGGAAAAAGTTAAAAGTTGATGGTATTCTTTAAAAACATTCAATAAAAAATATATTTTTTAAAAATTCTGGATTCCATGGAGTTTATTAGGACACCCCCCATGAACTCTATGAATCTGCAAGTAATTTTATTTAAAGACACAAGTAAAAATACTGAAAAAAGAAACCTACCAAACACTGATCTATTTTTTAGAGGCTTTGTTGACAGTGTCTTTATTGGACAAATTAAAAAGCAAAACTACTATTCACATGATTGACAACCCAGAGATATTAGACATTCAGATTGGATTAATTGTAATTATAATACTGAAATAGTGCCTCCAGAATTGCACAAACCCCAAGTGACAATATTTTGAGCAGATGTCTAAAATAGATTCTTCATGAAGCCATAAGTTTATATTAGGTGCTTTTCTCCTGTCTGTGAGTCTGGATCTTCCCAGTCCTTTCCAGATTACCAGATACCTAGCTTTATAGAGTCACCTGAAAACAAGTAGCACATAACTTCTTGTTAGAAAGTAAGCCTTTAGTTATAAAGTGCAGGATACAAGAGTTTTCTGTATCTGTGTGTGATCTGGGGTCTGTAAGTTTACAGTTTTCATCAACTTTGGAATTTCTTCAGTCATTATTCCTTCAAGTATTTTTTTTTTTTAAGATTTATTTATTTGTGCATACAGAACTGGGGTACAGGCCAGAGGCTCAGGGGCGGTGAGAGGCTTCACCAGAGACAGAGGGGAGAGCAGAACAGGCAGATGGACAAAGTACACTGCTGAGTGGAGCAGCAGGCGGGTCAGGAGAGGTCTGCCACGCCATGTGGATCTCCTCTGGGGCAGGCGGGAATCGAACTCATTCGGAAGTGGCTTTAGATTCTCGATGCTGTGCTTTAACCCCCTGCGCCACCAGGGAGGGCCCACCTTCAAGTATTTTTCCTCCATTCCTCCCCATTTTGGCAACTCATATATTAATCACTTGAGATTATCCTACAGTTTCCTAGCCCTCAATTCATATTTAAATTTTATCTTTTTCCCTCCCCTAGTTTTTTTCTTTTTAAGTTTGGGTAGTCTTTCTGTCCTGTCTAGTCTACCATCAATACCATTCACTGTATATTTCAACTCCCACATTATATGTTTTATTATAATATTTAATTTGCATCATTTTTGTTTCCCACATCCATACTTCCAAAATACAAAGTTATAATAGCCATTTTACTATCTATCTTCACCTGTTAATTTTCACGTATATGTCGGTTCTGGGTTGGTTTTGGTATTTTTCTCTATGTAGACTTTTCTGCTACTTTGTGCGCCCAGTGATTATTGATGGGATGCCAGATATTATTAATTGAATGCTCAATCTATTTTTTTGTTCTATTCCTACAAAATTTTCAGAGATTTCATTCATCTAGTATTCCATAGGTGACTTCTTCACATTAAAATTTCTGCTTATATTTTTATGCCCTTTTAGCTTTTCAAAATAAGCAGTATAGTATGTTAAAATAGTATTTGGAAAAGATGTTCACAGATCAGGCTAGTTAAATTTTACTAATTGAAATATGTCAAAAAGGCACCCCATTTCCAGAATTTAGTAAACCTAATCTTATCAGAGCACAGTTTAAAAAAATTATACTAAACCTCTAATTCTACAGCTGTTCATAATGACCTTTAAGTATAGAGCAACTGATAGAAAAAATAATTTTCTAAGTGTCTTGTTAACAAGTACTCATCCTGGGTCATTGTGCCTTTCTGTAGAACTTGTTAAAAGGGCTTCTATGACTATACTTCTAGGGAGTCTACTTCTGTAGGGCTGAAGGAAAGCCTAGGAATAAGCTTAAGTACTCCCAAGTGATTCCAGTGCAAGTTGTATATGAGCCATAGTTTAGTAAACAGCTCTCTTCTCCAAAAGAGAGAAGTTACTAACAAGTTGGAGTGGAGCAGGCAGGCTGGAAACGCTGTACTGATGAATTCTAGCTCGAAGAGCCAAAGTGTTAAGGCCTGTTGCCTAGCAGCCATCACTCTGGAGGCATGCCTGCCAACTTAAATGAGATCTTTTCCTAAAGCTGCAACACAAAACATTAACCTAGCGAGTCAACTGGATTATGATGAGGACTCTATTTAACCAGTAAGATGCAGGTAGAGATTTTCCACTAACTGAAATCACAACAACTCTTTCAAAAGGTTAAAGACACTTCACACCCAAATTAAGCTTAAGTTTTATTTTAAATGTAAAAGAAATGGTTCTTGACAAAGCTGATGAATAAAGCAAAAAGTATAGTGTTCTTGCCCTACAAGTCAGCTGACCTAGCCAAGTACAGGACTATATACAGTACTTAAGTGCTGTAGAATTTCACAGTAGTTTAGTGTTAATCTGTGCCTAGATTATGTAGAGATCCTCAGCGTGTGATGCTTGGTTCTGGGTTTTAAACCTTACTGAGCATGAACAAGGGCGCCTGCTCCTTGGCCATAACCAAATCCTTTGGGCCCGAAGTTCTTTGCATAACATCCTGCAAAAGAAAGGAGACACTCTGCAAGTGAGGTTTGCTAGCATTACTGAGCAATCATCAACAGCAGGCAAACCCTCCCACCCCACCCTGATAAAAACCTGTTCAGGTATACCAAGAAGAATTCAACGTATTTTAAGATGTAACATGTGCAAAGGCAATTCCAAGCATCTGGTTCCATAGTCTTCAGTTTATGTTCCACCAAGACAACAAGCATGAATATCATGCCAGGCAAGTTATACTTTCATACATGCTTTGCTTTGTTCATTTATAAGAGAATTTTAAATGATCAGGAACTTTATTATAACATGTAAAAGTACTCTGGTTCGCTGTCATCTGTAAGTCTATGGACTCAGCTCCAACTTGCAAATAGCATCATTTTCAAAGATTTGTTTTTTTAAATGCTGGTGACATTTCTTTAACCAATAGCTAGTGTGGAGAGCAATACTGAAATTAACTTTACCTTTACAATAGATTTCACCTTCTTTCTCAGTCAGAGTTGTTGATTCGAGGCTTTTACCACACTTGGCACAGCGGAAACAGTTTTTGTGCCAGGGCTGGAAGAAACAAATATGTAAGTTTGGCAGGCCCGTTTCCTGCAGTAGAATATAGATTTTGGGTAAAAAGTGGCTCAGGAAGATCAACCAAAATGAGTCCATTAGCTCAATCACAATTAGAAGACTGCAGCTGGACCTCCCCAATACCTACATTCTTGGTCGCCTACTAAGCGATGAGTTCAAACTTTATTCACAGAAGTCACAGCTGGGAACATGGAAAAGCCAGTCTTAGACTTGAAGTCTAGCAGGCTCTTTCAGTAAAGACCTCCGTTACTACGAAAGCTCAAAAGGCTAAGTTTTCCAAATCCACACACTGCTTTAGCATAGGTGTCCTGTCTCTAGTTCATGGCTTTTTCCACAATACTGAATCACCTGCCATGTTCAACCTTCAGATCTGTTAACAGTCTAGGCTTTTCAGCTTACGCCGTTCAGGGCTATCCCTATGAAAACAGGCTTCTTTTAAACACATAAGTGATTTGTCAAATAAGGACATCATTTCAAAAAAACAAATGATTCAGACAAATTCAATTTTATGAGTGGCATGTGGAAGGATAAGGGGAGAAAGAGCAGAGAATAGCCATTCACTGTTTCTAACTTAAAGACAGGTCTGTACCTTTCCAGCTCCAATTATCTTCTCAGCAGCATACACAGAATCCCCACATCTGGAGCACTTCTCAGCACCTCCAAATTTCTGAGCAAATTTAGAAGTGTTTGTGTTTGTTGTAGGTCTGTGGGGTTGAGCACTGAAGGAAAAGGGGGGTATTAGGTAAGGTTTTCCAGAGGCCCTTAGAAAATCACAAGGCAGACCATAAGATCTCTGGGGTGAACTGCTACACTGTCTCATGCCAAGGGTTTTTGCAAGGACAGCAGATGGAAAAGGCAAAATTCCAGGTACTGACCAAGTATTACTTTAACCTACTTATGGAGTTATTATTGTTACAAATATAACAATAATATCTACCCTTCTGAGTCTAAATTCATCAAAAATTTTTAATCCTCATTGCAGGCCTCACCAAACAATTATGCTATGCTTTACAGAAATCTACAAGTACCCAATTGGGTGTTTTTACTCCAGATTTACTCTAGTACAACTATAACCACATCTAGCGTTTTATTTCTAAATGAGATAAAAATCAGTTCAGCAGCTAAAAATGTCTGTAGATAGGTCAGTTAACATAAGTACTCTAAGGTAGTTAAGCATGTTTTACAGATCATTTAAATATATCTTACATAATTTTTTTTTTTTTAAGATTTATTTATTTGTGCATACAGAACTGGGGTACAGGCCAGAGGCTCAGGGGCGGCGAGAGGCTTCACCAGAGACAGAGCACCAGAGACAGAGCGGGGAGCAGAACAGGCAGATCAATGAAGTACACTGCTGAGGGGAGCAGCGGGCGGGTCAGGAGAGGTCTGTCGCGCCATGTGGTCACCTCCAGGGCAGGCGGGAATCAAACTCATGCGGAAGCGGCTTTTAGATTCTCAGTGCTGTGCTTTAACCCGCTGCGCCACCAGGGAGGGCCCATATCTTACATAATTTTTACAGACTTCCCAATGTATCTTCTTAATTGGAGAGGTATAACTATTTTTTCCATGGTAAAGTTTTTTGTTGTTGTAGCTTTTTACTGAGAACCGCTGGTTTACAAACTATGATTTAGAGTACAGGTTTCACACCTCTTCAAAGCAGCACACCCACGACCAAAGCAGCAATGCTGTTCACCATAGTCTACTGGTCGCTCCCCCTCCTCCCACCTTCCCTCTCTGGTAGTATGGGAGAATATTTTAGGTAATTTGCTTGTTACTGTGTCATCTATTTATCTGTATACTTTTTTCCTGGACATAGGTATTTTTGCTAGGATTTATAGGTCACTGGGAAAGCTGTGTCTTCCTTGCATAGGCAGGTGCATCCACCATGCAGGGCACCACTGAGGGCATGGAGGATATTTAAAAGCTCATGTAAGACTTTACAAATTAGATAAGCAGATCAAAGTATCCTATAGCACTAAGCAATCAGTAACTACGCGTCAATTTTTCCCACCGGTAAAATAATCATTTTCCCTAAAGATTGCCTTTTCATGTAACAGTTTATTAAAATGCTTCATGTGCATTTCATTATCTCTCCTACTCTCCACTTTCTGGTTATTTAACAATTTTCTACACTTGCATATAAGTTGTTGAATATACAGCCTATTTTTAAATCATGTTTGATGTAGCCTCTAGAAATTTTACTATTTTACACTATTGGTTTTTACATTGACCCAAAAGTAGGCAAATTTTTAAAAATGTCTCCACAACCATACTGAATATGCGTTCTTTTAAAAAGTTATCTTTAAAAGCTGTGAATAACAGTTGATTATAAAACTGATATGTTAGTCAAAAGACTGGAATTTCAATTATGTTTAGCTGGAGAATTTATTTAGAGAAAAATAACTTCTTGAGATACTTACATAGAAGGAACTGGAAGTCACTGATTTCTTAATTAAAAGTTAGATGTATCTTATGATTCAGATGCTACATTTCCCTTTGATTTCATGTCTGGTTCTCCCAAGCACTGTGAAACTGCAGCAAGTTTAAACCACTTGGCTTTTAAGAACATCCTGAATCCTTGATGTACATTGGAATACTCTAAAACCAAATCTAGTATTGCTAAAATCACCAATAAGAACTTTGTTAGATCCCAAACTGTCAATAATTTGAGCTTAAAATAGTCTCTAGTTTACGCATTTTGTAAGTGTGAAGGCTGAAAACTCCCAGACTCCTCTTCACTAAGCAATGTTGTTCTAACTCATTTCTGAAGGCAGCAAACATGGTCCCAACTTACCTCTCAGGCTTGATGCCCAGCCTCTCCCCACGGTCCATGTTGAGTGTGCCAGCGCCCTGGCCATACCCATAGCCTTTGGGCCCATACTTCTTTCCATAGCAGGACTTGCAGTAGATCTCTTCATCATGAATTGCCACTGTTGTGCTATCTAAATTTTTCCTGCAAACCACTGAGAGTCATTGAAAAAAAAAAATCAGACTTAAAAATATACTAAAGATTTTTCTTTGAAAAAACAACTCCACAAATGATAACTCTCACTTTGCTTGTGGTTTCTCTAAAGCCATGGGACAGCATCTGGTTTGGCCAGCTGCCATTCAAGACCATTTGCCTTTTCATAGATACCATAGTTGTTTCAGAAATGGATCTGAATCTTAATATTCTGAAGCCAGACACTTTTCATGAATTGCTTCTCTTGCAGGACAGAGATAGCTTTAATTGTACAATCAAAAGGAACACAACGAACACTTTGTTCCCAAACCCTTGTCTCAACCCTCCACACTCATTTTTTTCGGCCAATATATTGTTAAAAAGCAAGTTAATGAAGAATAAAAGGACAGCTGAGTGCCTTGAGAGAACTGTCTTTACAGCCCTTTTTCCTCCAAAAGCTCATCCTGGTATAAAACACTTAGTATCCAGAATTTCAGTTTTTGCCACTAGTCCAGAAGAGAGAAGTATTACTCTTTCATCTCCCCACTGGCTTCTGCAGCAGTGATAAGTATGTCTGAAAATTATTAAGTGGTTTAAGTTCTGCATTTGTTTTGCTTCTGTCCCAAAGGAGAACACATTCTTTCTTAATGGATTTCTTGCCACAAGACATTTCCATGTATCCCACTTCATAAACCTGCCAGATGTCATCATGTTTTATCCAGCCATTATTTCACTTTCTAAAACTTCAATTAAGCTTAAGAAAAAAAATTAATTGTGAAAAACTCAGTGGTAGCAAAACCAGGCAGCAAGAAACTCAAGGTTAGTGCAGTAAGTAGGAAAGGAAAGATTTCTTCCTTTCCCCCTTTATCTAAAGCAGTAGGGGATAAATGAGAAGATAAGAAAGAATACAGAGGGGGGGGGGAACTAACCGGGCTGGTTTAGAGTTAAATTAAGAAGTTTCTGTTACTTTAGACTAAAGCTAGAACAATGTCATCTAACCTGAAACCTTGCTGTCGAAGCTTAAGTACTGAAATATCTGCCTAAAAAGGCATGGTTGTCCTAAAACCATACACTACTGAAGTATAAACACCTTTGATAGAATAAATATGAAAATTTCTGAAAAACACCGTTTAGTCAAAGCAAGGTTAGGGATATGAAGGTTTTACTGTATAAACACCCATCCCTCCCCGAGTTCTCATTCTTGTTCTCTGCTGTAAAATTCACCCAGACATGCAAGCTACTCTGAGTCAACTCCTAAAAAGATTTTATTCAGTAGAAACCAGTAATTAGGAAGGAGTGGTTTAAAGGACCAGTAATGAATTTGATTTTAGTAAACACTATTGTTACACAGAAATCACAGCTTAACCTAGATAAAACTAACAGTAATTTCAAAAGCATCTGCATTTCCTCTATGTTCACAAACTGAATAATGGACTTCTTAAAAAGTCATTTCTAAGAGAAGAAATATAGTTAAACCAAATCTGAGGAATGGTAGCTATTACGGAGGTAAATATAGCAAACGTTGGTATGTTGTATTTTTATTCTTCAAAATTGCAACTTTCTGTTGTCTGTTTCTAGTTGTCTACAGAGCAGTTATACCATAAAGAGGTCCAGACACATGGAATGCTGGTCCTGGAGTAAAAGAACATCATAACTGAGAAAGGTCCTTTCTGAATATTTCTTCATGTAGTCAGTTATTTTTGAGTTTCTAACTGTGATTTTCATTGTACAGAACTACAGATAGGCAGATACCTGCATGCACAGCTGGATTCCTCTGTGAAGATAATAAATCATTAAAGAATCTTTTGTGATTTGAATCAGAAAATGATTAATAAAGCATTTTTAGAATTTAAAATTGAAGACTTAACTGTATTAGAGGGGATGTGCAGGCAGAGGGTGCTTACCCCTGGTCCCGCCTCTCCCTTCAGGTATGGACTGCTCAAGCACGTGGCGTGCTTTCTGCCCCACTTCTGGTACTTTTCCATCTATAAACAGTAACTCCCAACTTGCCTTTATGGAATGTCATAGCCCAAGCTCCTTTATGTCAAATTTAGAATATCCACCAGAAATGACTGAATTTTCATTGAAGACTGAGGAGCTGAGCTTTCTGGACATTGGTAAGTGTGGTTAAAAAAAAATAAGTAAGTTTCAAAGGGGAGGAACCCAGCTTGAGCTGTGGTGGAAAAGCGGCGACCTTCACTTAGAGTGGAGCTAAGCCCACGCAGTGTGCTTGAAACTGCTGAGTGCCAGATCATAAACAACTCTGGGCCTCTAGTGGAGCAGGAGCCTCAGACATGATAACAAAGTACAGGAAAGGCCAAATGGAGGGCAACGGGAGTGCAGGAAGGGCAGGGGCCTAGGGCCACCCTTGCTGTCCTGTCACCAGGCTGAACACTAAAAATATCTAGAACATCTGCTGGGGCTCCTAAAATAATATTTTTTGACAAGACTGCAGTGCTTTCCTTTTACATGTAAGTTCCATCAAAAGCAGAGGTACTTACTGCACAGAAAGCAGCAGCGGTGAAAGCTTCTCCCGTCACACTGTACCTCTTCTGCATGGTACACAGTCCTCCCACAGGCCCCACACTTGTTTCCACCTCCCCAGACAGGCATTCTGAAGGAAGAAAGGAATCATTAGAATGTCCCATGCTGTACATGATGTCTTACAAGCTCTCTAGAGGCTGGCTAGCCCAGGGGACAGCTGCAGATCTTGTTTCTTTATGAGCCACTCTAACCACATCTTTAAAAGGCCTGCATTCCTCCAAAATAACCTCATCTCATCTCCCAAACTGCAGCTATTTCATTAGGAAACTCTGGCTCGTCATGCACAAGATTTTTTTTTCCCCTATAAAACAAAGGACCTGCATTCAGGAGAATATTATAGGTCGCCAGGCACAAAACAAAGTATGTCAGTAGAATCCACAGGCATTAGGAAAGAAATATAGGGAGTGGAAACACAAACACTGATAAACCACCCCCCACCTTCATGAGCAGTTTTTTTAAAACTGAGCTTAGGAATTTACACACTGTTGGAGGCTTTATGTGTAACTCATTGAAACAACACAAAATCACTAACATCTGATACACAGGTTATGACACTTTCTAGGGAGGAAAAAGGGGAACTGTACGACAAGAACAAGTTTTCTGTCTGCTAAAGTTAGAGATTATAATAGAAATAGTCTTGTCTGTGAATAGTGCAAGCAACTCCAGTGTGGAGCCTCACTGAAACCACAACGAATATATCCAGATGGCGACAATTTAAATTTTTATGCTTTACTAATTCCCAGACCCTCCAGTCCAGCCAACGGTTGTTTTTTTCCTCTTTAACTAGACCACCAGTCCATACAGGACATGCTAGCAAATTCCCTCCCCAGAAAATGAATAACCTCTGAGCAACATGGCCCCAACGTGATAGTAGAGCTAGAAGTTTAAATCCCAGGCTATCTTGTGATAATGTAAGGACAGCATAACCCTAACTCCCTTCTCAACAATGTTGGTCTACCCAGACTTCTTTTAGAATGTCTAGCTCTGCTGAGGCTATGAGTGGGGTGCAAGAGGACAATGGTGCCAGTAGACTACAGTGCAGGACTGTGGATGCTCTGGTGGGAGGTATGGTATGGTAACATAAGTCTGAGCCATGATTTTCTGACTCACCAGCATTGAAAGCTGTTCTGCTAACAAGGCATGTTATGTTTGCCCCGTCTTGAGTGGTATCTAAAAACACAGTGAAAGAATTTGTTTCTCCACAATCTATTTCAGACTTCCCTCCTGGGAGTGGGACATGGAGCCCTTCCTGTTACAAAAATCCAGGACTGAATGAGTTTTCAACTCTGCAGGAAGCCTTTCCAAAAGAAATAGTTATAGAATTAACCGCTGTGTTGGGCATCTTTCTGGGACACAACATTCTCTTGTCACCTTTCTGGTGATATTTTCCTCCAGTTCTCTCCACAGACACAACCCTCTCTTTTCTGGTCCATGAAGCTTAGAGAACTACTTATTGTCATAAGGTCTCTGGATGATAATTGGCCATGCTTGTTACCATTTCTAGAGGGAATTCAGGTAAGTGTGTAGAAAGCTTTATATAATTTTATGCGACCACCAGCAAGGGCATTATCAATGGCTCATCTTGTTACCAAGGAGTTGAAAAATCCACCTGTACTTAGATAGCATTGGTGGTCTTTCACCACAGATAGTCTGAGACGCGCTGGTTTAGATACCACCGACTTAACAAACTCCAGGCCTGGGACTCAGTTGTGGCCTCCAGTTGCACTGTGGGGGATGAGGTGTGGGGCACATGTCCAAGCCAGGTGCATGAAAGTTAAACCCAGGGCTATGGTTTATAAGTGTGTGGTGGTAGGAGTGAAGTCACTAACACACACATACACACAAGATTTAGATGGTTGCAGCCATTCCTTCTTGTATCCTTTACTCTCAACTATGTAAGCCAACAAAGTCCCATTTTAAGTCACAGGGAGAAGGAATCCCATTTGTACAAAACAACATGTACTTATATACAAATAGGGAGGGGCTTGACTAATGTGACTATCACTTAGCTGGGTTTCAACTTGCAAAATGCCTACTTTTCCCATTTCAAACAGAGCAATTCTAAGGGTGCACAAATGTTACCAGGATACCAGTGAAGGCATCCATCTAGGAGCAATATCTAGCCACAGTGAAACATATTGTAAGCTTTACCTTAGTAGTTACATAAATCTCTTATTCCCTTCCCTGGAGACAGGTGCTCTTATTGTTTAAATCCACAAAGAAATCTGAGCCTGACTGTAAGATCTAACACACACAGCTTTGGCTCCAGTAGCCTGCACTGGTTTGAGTTTGGAGTGCAAGTTGTGATACTGACTTTGCCCTTTGGTTCTGAAGTTATTGCTCCCCTGTTCTGGAATTCTCACAATGCAAAGAGACATCTTCTGTAAGTACTCCCCATATTTCCTGGAGAAACCAAAAGCCAAATTCAGACTTGTAGGTAATGATATTACAATTACTAAATAGTAAATTGCATCCCAAGCATCAATAGCTCCCACTGGCTTTTAAAGTAACTTTGTTATTGTAGAGGTATTTCTCCTCACACTAGAAGGTGTATTGTTTAATATCAACCTGGCTGACTTCACACAGTTACTTTGGAGCAATCACTAATAAGAACTGAAATTTCTATCAAGTCTAATGTTATAGTGCTTTCTTTCTCAACATTTAAAAACACATTTTTAAAAAATAGTCACTGCATGTTTTTCTCACCCTATTAAAGAGCAGCCTAAATTTTTAAATTATATAATTCAGGTTGCTTCAAATTTACTTCTTGTAAATTCAATTTCTGTTGTAACATGAAGGTATCATCTCAGAAATACCGAACCAGGACATACAAAATTCAACTTTGTTGTTTTAAAGAATCCTTTTCAACTTGTGCAATTTCCACTTAGATATATACTTACTGAGACAAAGGTGGTACTGTCTTTGTCATATTTTTGGATTCCAAGTAAAATTTCTTTTCTTTTTTTTTTAAGATTTATTTATTTATTTGTGCATACAGAACTGGGGTACAGGCCAGAGGCTCAGGGGCGGTGAGAGGCTTCACCCGAGACAGAGTGGGGATCAGAACAGGCAGATCGATAAAGTACACTGCTGAGGGGAGCAGCGGGCGGGTCAGGAGAGGTCTGCCGCACCATGTGGTCACCTCCGGGGCAGGCGGGAATTGAACTCATGCGGAAGCAGCTTTAGATTCTCAGTGCTGTGCTTTAACCCGCTTGCGCCACCAGAGAGGGCCCCAAGTAAAATTTCTAAGCCATTAACTTTTTACAAGTTCCTTCCAGTTTAAAGGCTTTCCTAAAGATTTCTAAATAACTGCCTGTGGTACCGGAGCTGGCACAATAGAAAATGTGTCTTCAGAAAGCTTCAGTTGGATTTATGCTTTATTTTTTATGTTAGGTAGTAGGCAGATGGGTATTCTTTATATTCTCTAATTTGCTTGTATGAAATGTTTTCTAATGGAAGGAAGGAAGGGAGGAGTAAGGGAGGAAGGAAGGAGGGGAACACTGGCTTAATCAGACCTGGGTTAGCCTCCCTGTTAGGATAGTCAATCTTCGGGCTTCGTTTTCTCACCTGTAAAATGGCAAAGGTAGCTGCCTCAACCTCAGAGACACCATAAAGATAAGACAGGGGCAGTAAATGCCTTGACATTCATCCAGGATCTGTCAGCCTAAAGGTGGCGGGGACACACTGCTCTCCATGTTCCGACAGAAAAACCCACAGGTTAGCACCAGCAGGGTAAAAAAAAAAATGTAGTGGCTTAACCACTCATTAACCTTCTGCAGGGACATTAAATAACACTGCAACTGCTCAAAAGATCCACTTGTAGTGACCACCTAAGAAATAAAGTTCAGGTTTACACTTCTAGGGTGAACCCTATGGGTGTTTCCTGAATTTGGCAGGAGGAAGTGTGATGATCTTTCATTTCTGTCACTCTTGGCATTGCTATTCATGTAAAAAAAAAATCCCAGGCTTCATTTTTCCTACAACCTTGGCTGTATTCCTCCACAACAGCTGACATTAATCACTGCAAACTGGATTTTCACTGAGCAGTCTGGGCTACATGCCTTGCCCCAATCCTTTGCATCAATTTACAGGATGTTAGAAGGAGAAATAAAATCCCACTTCGCACACATCTCACAAATAAGCCAAACACAGCTTTATTGTGCTTTTTCATCTTGTTCATTAATTTTCTATGTCATTAAAAGTTCTATCCCTAGAATTTAGGCACTGCGTTAGACTAAAATACTTAGGTTATTTTAGAACATTTACGTGCACTTTCTTTGTTACTTCCCCAGCCCCCACCCACACGTCTAAGATGGCACCCAAAATTTCTAAGACTCATCCCTTTATGAAAATGACTATAGTCTAATCTGAGTACAACCTGTGGGGAAGTTACCTCATTCTCTAGACAACTGAAGACAGTACAAAATAACCACTCAGGGACCCTCCCTGGTGGCGCAGCGGGTAAAGCTCAGCACTAAGAAGCAAAAACCACTTCAGTATGAGTTCAGTCCCCGCCCAGAGGTGACCCACATGGTACAGCAGACCACTTCTGACCCGCCGCTCCCCTCAGCATTGTGCTTCATCAGTCAGTCTGTTCTGCTCCCCACTGTCTCTGGTGAAGGCTCTCACCACCTCTGCATCTCTGGCCTGTATCCCACTGTATGCATAAATAAATAAATCTTTTTTTAAAAAAAAGGGAACCACTCGGGCCATTCTCTCAGCACCAGTGCTTCACCTGCCACTTTATGTTCAGATCTGTCTCCATCAATTTAAATTCTACATATTCTACTTGCAGTCTAAGTTATTCTCCCTGATAGCGAAGGCTTTCAGTGACACCTTCTACAGGCCCAGACTACATGCATCCAGAGCTCTGATACTGTATTACTTCATCCAGGGCTTGGTTATTACACTAGAATCTATTATTTCCCAAGTGGAGAATTTATAAACCAGTCTCATCTGCTTCATTGAGGCACATCCAGGAGGAGGATCAATTGTTAAAGAATGTATTAGCAGCAGTATCCCAACTACAGTGACTTGGAGAAGGCCAAAGTTTGAGAGTTGTAGTTATAAATAGAAATTAACTTTTAACCAACTCCCTTTCTAAAAATGTTTTCTTCTGTTCCCCAACTACTTGCTTAATCTATTTCCCTTACCTAAGTGCATACCATTTACCCAAAGACAGGTTCCTTGTGTCTAAGGCATCTTCTCCAATTTTCCTTTGGCTTTATCCACCAAAGCCAAATTTTCAAACTGATCTATAAGACAGCTCACCCTAAGGATGAATTAAAAGCATGGATTTTGAAGTCAAATCATCCTATTTCCCTAACATGTAATATGAAGAAAATGGTTTGCTATAGATTTGTTAAGAGAATGCGATGAGAAAATATAATCAATTAATGGTAGCCTTTATCATCAATATTTAGTAATGTCCAGTCTATATTACCAAAACTCATCTTCCCCTACCCATCTGATGGGTCCATTCCTCATCACTTCCCTAAACCCTTCCAATCTGAGAAGCTGATTTATCTTTTTTCTCATCCAGCTCCTACCTTAATTCAATATCTTAAGTAATTCTAGGGTAGAAGCAGCTAATAAATATTGTACGACACTTTACTGTTGATGAAGCTCTCCTGTAAATATTAATTCAACATTTTATAAGTCCTATCATGGATTAAGAGCTGAGAATCAAAGGGTTATAAGAAAGAGTGCCTGTTTCTCAGGGACTTCTACTTTGATGGTTGAAATATGTAAACAAATAATTGCAATGCAGCATAGCCAATGACAGAGGCAGGTAGGGAGGGCTTTGGGAGGTCTGCATGGTTTACTTATATAGGGATGGCAAAGTTTCATCTTGCAAATCCACTAACAGTGGGTTCCTGGGAATTATGTTGAGGATTCTAAAATTCAAAGTTTCACATTAAATCTTATAGGGATTAATAGCTTGCCATGGAAATTGCTATATACATGCTATCTTTAAGACTTCCCTGGCATAGGAGAAAGAGCATAAATTTAGAATCAGATAGAAATTTGAAAATCAGTTACCAATGCAGTGATCTTGGCTAAGTTTCTTAAGCTCTGTGCCTCAACTTCCTCAACTATAACTTGGAAATGGCTGAGACTCTCTCATAGGTTGGTTGTAAGGATTAAATAAGATAGCAAAGTAAAGTACCTGGCAAAGGGCCTGTACTCCCCAAACACTAGCTTCCTCTTCTTCAGGAACATGTTGAGCCTGAACAATGTTACCAGAAGGCCAATATTTAAGTGACTTGCAAAGAAGTAAATCTAGGCTCAACTCCTTGAAGTTTGACTCTAAAACCACAAAATGTCCCCCAAACCCCCCTATCTGATTTAAGGGCTGAACAAGAATTCAAACCACCTGAGAATGATGAGTTTTGAGTTACCAAATTACATCCCCATAAGATCAGTCTTTGGGCCTAAAGGAACTGCAGTTAGTATGCAACTAGCAGTTAGTATGTGTCCTCTGAGTATCTCTCACACCCCAAAGTATGAAAGTTGCTACTTTCAACCAAAAAGCACCCTTCCCCTTCTCTCTGCTAAACTAAGTGTAACCTAGGGAAACCATCTAGTAATATGTTTACCTAGTTATTTCTCCTGTGTTCACCTCAACGACGAATTCAATGTCTTGTTAAAATTTATGTCTTCAACTTGTAGTACAAGACTTGCCAAATTACACATTGCAATTAGGATGCAGCTATGTTACAAACTCAGTCACCCTGACCTCCCACATCTGCCACAGCAATCCACAATCTGTGCAACCAGAAGACATTTAATTATTCAGACAATTTCAAGTCTGCATGATTTCTACATGGAGTCAGACTAAGATTTATATGCCAAGATTGCTTATTTGCCAGATGGTTTTATGTTTGTTCTTTACTAGTTTTCTCATTTTTAAAATGAGAAAATGCTTATTTATATCAGAAGTTGGTTCTGAGATTAAACAATCCATACAAAGTACTTAGTGGAGTGCCTGCCACATGACAGGTAATAATTACAAATATTTATAAATGTTAAGTAGCCTACTTATATTAACTTATTTCATTCTCAACAACTGAGGTGGACATTATTATTTTCATTTTATGGGTGGGGAAGTTGATATTAAGTGACTCTTAACTGTGAAACTAAAACAAAATTGCCAGTTCAACCAGTAAAACTCAAAAGTATATTGAGTTTGATGTGTCTCTAAAAATAACAAACTGCTAACAACAGAGATAGAATTGACTTCAAAGGCTCTGGCACAGGTTCTTTTCAAATCAGGTATTTCCTGTACTGCTATGTGCTGGATAAAGATTTGAGTCACTCTTTACTTTTTTCGAAGTAGTGAATGGGAAAGTCATTTGGCCCTAATATGTTCAGTGCTATTTGTCATCTTACTAGTCGAGGACAATTAGTTGTACTACTGCACAATGAAATGGTAGACAAAAAAGCAAGAAACCTGACATTCTTAGCAATGATTCACAATATACTGACTTCCATGGTTTCCCTCTATGACTTAAAAAACAAAACTTACAATTTTTAACAATCCGAACTTGTGCCCTACTTCTCCCCATAATCCACTTGGTAAAACTCTCAATTTAAAATTCTTTACCAGGGGTCCATTGATATTTTGAAAGTCTGGTTATCAGTAAAGGTATTTTAGTTTATGCACTCAGAAACATTTTAGGAAGGGATACAGAGGTTCCACTAGACTGCCAGAGGGTCTAGACAAAAGCAGATTTCATCATCCTTAGTGATCAAGGTCCCCAGGGTGTACCCCCACCCTATGGAACCCAAAGGATGCCATGAAAATACCAGCCAAGAAAATGATCTATTTCAAGGAGAAAACCTGGGAATATCTGCAAAGGAAAGAAAACTAGCCTCCGACGAGGTTTTCACTGACTGACATTTCCTTATAGCGCCAACAAAGTACAGGTGGATGTCTAGTTACAAGGAAATTCTTCACGTCAGTAGGGTTTATAGACAACGGTGAGCATGTCTCTCAAACACCGACAAGGTAAGTGCTATTACAACTATTTTACAAGATAAAGTAACTGAGGCCAGGGATAGGGCCATCAAACTAATGGGAACTAGGGCTGGGATGTGAATGAACCCAATTCGCTTCAGTGCTGCCCTTCTCACCAAGCCCTGTCTCCTTCCTCTCCACAAGGAACTTGCTCTCCCCATCTCATTTGTGATTCAGCTCATTTTTGAGACAGAGAAGAAAATCAGGCCCAGATCTCCATAGTTATTTAACAGTACCAAAGCAGAATCCAGCTCATTTGTTGCTGTCTCCTGCACTCCAAAAGCCAAGCTCTTGCTGTTTTAGGGGAAAAAAATACAATTTTCCCCAAATCCAAGTGATTTGCAACTGCCATCAGGACAGATCTTCAATGAATACTGCTTTCAACACAGTACTCAGCATATATCAGCATCAATATTTGTTTTACTACAGTTGGAGGAATCCATTAAACATTTGACTAGCTTTAGATCAGTTTTACCAACATGGCATTCCTCCAGCCTTGTGAAATAGCGATGAGTCTCAGTGGCAGACAACTTTGAGAGCAATGACCCAAGAGGTCGTGGGTCAGAGAGGACTTTATAGAATTGGTTCTAGTTAAAGAATGCAGTTTTGAAATTATGCGGAATTCACTCCTTTTAGATTCTATCACCTATTTCTTTTCTGAAAATGTTGAGTCAAGTTATAGCCCACTTTATTGTTGTCTTATTTGAATTCTTAGCATTTTGAAAGTAGAACTTTAAAACTGGTTAATCAGAAAAGTTAAGAACTAGAGGCCTTTTTTTACTACCCGATTAAAAAAATAACTAACCAAAGTAAGATTTTCTGTACTGAAAAAACATTTGTAAAGTGAAAATGTGCTTGGTCTGCAGATTTTAAAAACAAAACAGTTTAAACATTTTAAGTAACCATTTAAACAACGTCCTGGTTTGGTGGGAAAGTGTCTCTCTGTTAGGAAATCCTACCTACCCCTCCCTCCCTCCCCCCGGGCGCTGCCTACGTGGAGCCTTGGGGCCCAGGATCTGATTTTCAGGACCTGTTGTCGAATTTCACAACCAAGCTTTCTGGCTTTCCTGTTTGTACCCGAATGGTAGAAAGTTCCGGGAAAAGCTGGTGGTGAGCAATCCATCGTTTCACTGTGGTTCCTTCAACATTTAAAGGTTCGGTGCCAGGTGGGCAGAGACCGTCAAACAATAAGGCAAGCCAGGAGCTCAACGCTGAAGCGGAGGTTCTGAGTATGCAGGGAGGTTCTGAGTATCGGGTTGCAGGGACCCCCATCTCATCCAGATCTTAAATAGTCCCTGGGTAGATAGCTCTCAGGGCGCGCCACAGTCCACAGAGGAGACCCCGACATAGCTACCACCCCTCCCCTTCGCAGAGAAAGAACTGGTCGTGGAGGGGGCCCAGAGCTGCTAAGAGGCGGATTAGCAGCAACGCGAAACTGTTCCGCCACTGCCCAGAGAAACCGGTATTGAAACATCAAAAGGTCACGCTCGATTACTTATTTGCCCCCAGGGCCCAGGATCCGAGAGCTGGGCTGGACTGACCGCGGGAAGCAGGCAGGTGAGTGTCCGAGGGCTGGGCAGTAGGCAAACAAGGGCGCAGAGCTGGCGGCCCAAACGGGCACGAGGATGAGGCTGTCAGACGAGAGTGGACAGGGCCGCCAGAGAAACGCCCTCCCTCCGGGCTAGGTGGAGATTTCCCCACCACGAATACTCACTCGAGCAGGAAGCAGGACCAAGCACCGCGAACAGCACCGGCGAAACCGACCGGACCCAAAGAGCCGGAGCGCAGACGCCGCCGCCAACTGCGCGCCGGCGCCCTTTAAAGACCCTCTGGTGGGCGTGGTCTGTCTGCGTCCCGCCCCGCTGCCGCGCCCCTCCCCAGAGCGCGGGAAGGATTCCGGCACCCGCGGTGTGGGGCTCGTGCGAATGGAGCTAGGGCTACTTGCAACCCCCGCTCCCGGCTTAGGACCGGGAGACAAAAGGCAGGGATCCCGCCTCTTCCTGCGGCTTCCCGCCAGCCCGCATCATCCACCTCCCGGAACCGCTCCCTGAGACCTTACCTCTCTCTCTCCCGACGGGACCGGACAGTTTCCAGAAGTCATTAACAGAAAAAGGACGGGGACGAGCCACGGGACTGTCCCATAGGGAAAAAGCCCCCTACGAGGTAGCCCTTTCGCGCGGGCGCCAATTCTCCTTGGGGAGGGAACAATCCAAGGTCGGAGAGACTCCATCAGTAGAAAACGGACCAAATCGGGGGTTTCTGCCATCCTAGCTATCACTTGCTTTATGCTTATGTGTAAACACAACATGATTCACTTCCTCAATAGACAGATAGTCTCTGGCCCTATTTCCAATTTTGGGCAAACAGCAACCTTTCGGGTTTTTTTTTTTTTTTACTGGTAAACGCATCCAGACTAAATAAATGACGTTACAAAGATGCTTCATTCCCCAAGTGTCTTGCTTTCCCACCACGAGGCTCGGGAACAAACCTAAACCCAGTTAGAAAATCAGCCGACGGACCGGAGGGTCCGTTTTGTTGACATCAGAAAAGACCAGGGATGCCGGTGACAACCGAAGGGACCTAATAATATCTGAGCTGCAGGGTGATTTCTTGCCTTCGAGAAAAAGGAAAAACAACCTGTCTATATTTCGCTCGCATTGTAGGTCTACTGAGGACCTCTTTGCCGGAAGCCACGATTCCGTAGAACTGGTATTTGGAAGCAGAAAAGAACTTCTAAAAAGCAGTGACCAAGGCTTCATGCCACAAATACCTGTGATCCTCTCAACCAGGACTCCATGATATTTGGGGCTAGATGGTTATTTGTTGTGGGGGGACTTTGGAGGTGCCTGTACTTTGGAGGTGCCTGCACCACTAGATGCCAATAATGCTCCTCCTATTTTAAAGCAGTCAAAAACACCTTAAGCCTTTGCCAGATGCCTTCTTGGGGACAGGGCCGAAACCCTGGTGAAGAAGCACTTGGCGTTTGTCTGCATGACAAAGGGCAGAACTGGCTTAAAACCTTATTGTTTTATTTTATATGCTGAGATCAATGCAGAATAAACTCATTATAATGGCAACCTTATTCTCTGCCCACCAAGTACTGTGCCTAAACATACTGACATCTGACATAGTCTGAAAGTATTCCTCTCTGCTCTGAACTTTTTTGAATATAGGCTGTCCTCATTTTCATAATATCAGTGTAAAACTGACTTGATTCCAGGGTCTGACATGAAAATTCTGTATGTCAGGCTACATTTGCTTTAGCTCTGCTACTAAAAGTACCTACTTTTTCTTGTGTAGGTTTATATAGTATTTCTACTGAATGAAACTATTATTAGTGAATTTCACAGCTGTACTGATTTTCAATAAACCATTGTCTTTTCTCTCCTACACTTGAGTTCTTTAAGCCTCCATAACTTGACTGTTTGCTTTCTAACCTAAATTCCATAGCCACATATATGCTATCACTTGAAGTTGGGATTTCTTCTGACTTAAAAATACTTCTGCTATCTGTCCCTGTATGTATTTTTCTCAGGATATTTCATAGTAAGTGTGGGCATGATGTATAGCTTTTGGTTTGGAGCAAATCTGTTTGTATTAATCATCAACATGAAAAAATATTTCCTTTAAACTGATGATCTATTAATTATAAACATTACATCAGTTTACGTAGACAGTGGTGCAAAAGAAAACATGGGCTTTGGAACCAAGCAGATGTGGTTTTAATTTATATCTGCCACTTATTGGTTCTATGAGCTTGGCTTAAGTACTTCACCTCTTTTTAACTGTTTCTTTATCTGTACGATGATGAAATTACTATGCACCTTTCAGATGATGTATATAAAATGACAGACATAGCTCTTGGCACATAGTAAAGTTTCAATAAATGATAGTTGTTATACTAAGCAAGGATATCTTGATGTTCTTGTCTGTATCTTGAGAAAGAAAGAAATTGTGTTTTGCTGTGTTGCCTACTGAAGAGTCTAATAGTTTGACCACTTTACAGATTTTCCAAGACAATTAAAAACCTTGCCATAGAAAGTAATTCCTGTGTCTAGAGCAGGGCTACTGGGAGAAATTTGCCCTCATGGAGAAGAATGAGCCCTTCAGCCTTGAAATAGGAAAAATCAAAGGTTAAATGTGTCCTATAGACTGTTTCTTTTTCCCTGTAAATGTCTGTTATACTTTCAACGGCTCCATTTTTTCCTGGAACCCATTAACCAATTTTAAATCAAAGTTCTTTGTGAAGGTCACTGTCCTAAGGCAAGTTGAACCAAGGTTGCCTTTCTTCATAGCCTTGTAAAACAAGTTCAGATTTTTCAAATATTTTTATTATTTTTATTTCATGCCACTTTTTCTTAACAAAACTCTGAACCAGATGAATGTGAATATAAACAGAGCCTCTTTATTGTAGGGCAAAAATTCCTTCCCAGAAATCAGTGAGGCTGTGGTAGAGAGGAATGTTTTAATTTAAGTTAAATAAAGGGAAAAAGTTTCACTTTGCTAATCTACATGTTCAATAATGCAAAAAGAAGCAGCTGTTCCACCTTATTTCTTAGCCAGGGTTTAACAACAGTGGTGGGAATTCAAATTTACACACACTCAACACTAACACTCTGCAAACTATTTTCTGGCAGAGAAGAGAATAATATGTTATATATGCTTAAATTTTGAAAGGTAGATTAGAGTATCTTACTCTTGATATTTGTCATAGCTGTTTTTTTAACCTGCTTTGAACTCCTCCTTCCTGATAACTTGATTTATTTCTTAACCCTTTTTCTCCCTTGAGTACAGTTTGCCTCCAGTGTGATTATCTTCTGCTACAACATTATTTATATTTTCTTTTCTACCAGAGCTTTCTAGCTTATCTAGCTCTGCTTATACTTCCCTCTAACAGCAGAGTTTTTCTAGCTTTCCTAGTATGAAAACTAGCATTAAATTTAACTCAAAGATAGTCAATTCCATTCATCTTTGCTTAACCTCCTAAGTGCCCTATTTCATTTTTCTCCCATCTTTCCCCTCGGTGACATTGCCTTTTCCTACATGTACATTCCCATCACCAGCCACATGTCCTCAGCCCTGCTACACTGTGCTTTTTTTTTTTTTTTCTTCCTCGCTTGTGTCCATATTTTCTTTCATGTTTATACTTGTCTCTGATCTCATGGGAACATATGGTTCTCCAAATCCTTACCAAGGATAATTACTCTGCCTATATGTGCTTTTGAATCATTTTTAAAAAAAAAAATCTCTCTTCTCTTCACTTTCTCTTTCCTTTCAGACTAAAGCTGTCTATCCCATAGTATTAAAAGCCAACAAAAACTCCCTTGCCTTTTGCAGTAGGTATTCATGCTTATCTTCCAGCCTCCATTTCTCTTTTTCCCGAGGCTGGGTTTCTGTTTCTGCGTATTCATGTGGTTTCAGAGAAGTGATTTTTTTTTTTAACGATTTATTTATTTGTGTATACAGAACTGGGGTACAGGCCAGAGGCTCAGGGGCGGCGAGAGGCTTCACCAGAGACAGAGTGGGGAACAGAACAGGCAGATCGAGGAAGTACACTGCTGAGGTGAGCAGCGGGCGGGTAAGGAGAGGTCTGCCTCGCCATGTGGTCTCCTCCGGGGCAGGTGGGAATCGAACTCATGCGGAAGCGGCTTTAGATTCTCAGTGCTGTGCTTTACCCCGCTGCGCCACCAGGGAGGGCCTCAGAGAAGTGATTTTTATAGCCCTGGTTCCGGTTGGAGCAGTGGAATCAATCAAGACTTTCCAACCCCTGGTTTGGATTAGGGAAGGGCAGAGTATGTGGCCTACCTAAGTCTATCCAATGAAAGTGAACCAGTGACCAATTTTCAAACCTAGTTGATTTCTTGCTCTCTCGCTCCCTTTTTTTTTTTTTTTTTAAAGATTTTATTATTGGGCCTTCCCTGGTGGCGCAACAGGTTAGGACCGCAGCACTGCAAGCTAGCCGCAGCTGCTTCAGTGCTAGTTTGATCCCTTACCCTGGAGGTGACCCACATGGCGCGGCAGACCTCTCCTGGCCTGCCCGCTGCCCCCCTCAGCAGTGTACTTTTCTGTCAGCCTGTTCTACTCCCACTCTGTCTCTGGTGAACCCTCTTACCACCCCTGCATCTCTGGTCTGTACTACAGTTCTTTGCATGAATAAATAAATCTTTTTTGTTAAAAAAAAAAAGATTTTATTATTTTTGCATAGAACTGGGGTGTAGACCAGAGGTGTAGGTGGCAAGAGAGCTCACCAGAGACAGAGTGGGGAGCAGAACAGGTGGATTTACTGAAATACACTGCTGAGGGGAGCAAGCCTATGATACAGGAGAGGTCTGCTGTGCCCTGTGGCTCAGCTCCCTGGCTGAGGATCAAACTTAAGCCATCAGGTGGGTCTTCATGTTGGTAGCATTGAGGCTTACCCACTAAGCCACTAGAGAGGCCCCTACTGGATCTCTTGTTATGGGTCAGCATTGAATAAATACATGACTAAGTATACAGGTACAAAATGGAATCTTCTAAGATCATGCTTCTAAAGTTTCACACAAATATTCTGTCTTAAGATGCTGTTCTGATATAATGAGGAGTAGTGCATTCAAGAATCTACATTAAATACTTTTTATTACAGTATCAAATAATTTTTAAATTCCAGACACTTCCAGAAAAAAAAAAGAAATATATATATAGACTTTAACCTTTGCATAGAATTTTTTTTTTAAAGATTTATTTATTCATATAGAACTGGGGTACAGGCCAGAGATGTGGAGGGTGAGAGGATTCACCAGAGACGGAGCAGGGAGCAGAACAGGCAGATCAACGAAGTACACTGCTGAGGGG